AACTGAGATGACAGATTGGGGCTCCTCCCTGACCGTGCACCCACATGACAACGTAACCTGCATCCACCTCGGGTGACGACCCCTGGATGCATCTACAACAGGACACAGCGAAGGAGAGACGCTGGGAAGGATAACTACTTCAAGCACCTGCACCCAAATTTCTGGACTGGTTTCACGGCCAAGGACCTGAAGGAATTTTTCCGGGACGAAATCAGCTCCCTGACAATTGGACAACCGCCTCGACATCGCCATGGAAGGACCCCGAAGTCTTCCTGTTGAGAAGTTGAACTTTGCGCTTCATGTTCCGAACTACATTACGCTCCGGACCTGGACTTCAAGATACTTATCAACGTAAGACTGGAACCATCCTGATCAACAGAAGAGGACCCTGACTTCCAAACCTTATGCTCCAACCGGGACTCTCAGTCCACGGACAAGCCCTTTGATGAAGAATGCCTGGTTTGCCTCAGCTCTGCCATGGTTAGAGCTGCATAGATTAATATTACATCTTCATTTTTCCTCCTTCACTGAAAGATTCGTCTGCAACTCGGAGCTTTAAACTAAATTCACCTGATGTTTCAATACACCAAACTGATGTTTTCTGTGTATTATATGGTTTTGCTAATCCTTCCTTATCTCCTTACAGGAACTGCCATAAGTCGTAGAATTGTGCATCACAGTAAATTCGTTTCAATATGTATAAAATAGTTTTTCTTAAGGTTTTAATTGGGTTGATTTAGCTGATTCTACTTTCTATCTCTGTGAACTGCTGTAAGGCATTATTGTCAGTTGTGTTGGCTTGTGTTTATTATTTTATTTGTTCTTACTATTTTAATGATTTTTGTATTGAACTTTGTATGGAATGATTCTTTGGACAAGTTAACAGGATTGAGATTACGATCCACAACAGATATATGATTGCAGCACCTCATGCTGTGTTTGCCTTATTATGTTGATTCTGAACCTTTTATATCTGATCATAGTGTTCATTACTTTCCTTATTATTTTTCTTGTTTTGATGGTTATCATTTTTGTCTTGTTAATTGATTTGTAACCTGCTGGCCCTTAGGACTACTGAAATGATCACCTTTCCTGGTTTACCCTTTTCTATTACTTGATTTGTGATTGATGTAGCTTTCATAGTTAGTGGTGACAAGTTATGGAAGTGGATAATATTCCTTATTACTTTCCTTATTTTGTTTTCCTTATTTGGTTTTGTTTTGTTGCTTCCGTTCTTGATCATGGACTCAATCAACTGAATGTAAATGTATTGCTCTATGCCTCTCTGCATGCTCACTCATTCAGACACACCCACACAAGCCACTCTCACACACACACATTCTTGACCCCCCCCCCACACACACACACACATTCTTGACTCCCCCCCCCCCCCCCCCCACACACACACACACAATCTCTCCCTCTATAAACTCTGTGACCAGATGTTCAGTGCATTTTGCCTCGTGCATCTGCCACAGTTATAACTGTTTGACTTGTTGTTCATTGTCTCCTTTTCTCTCCGACTATAGGAAATGGGTTTTTGATAAACATATTGATAAAATCCATGACAGGAGAAAAGAAGAAAATGTACGGAAAGGTAGAGAGAAAACAAATAGGAAAGAGGGAGATCAATGGATCCCGTGAAAGAACAAAAAAATAAGAACAAGAACAAAATAAGGAGAGGGTGGTGATGAAGGTCACGCAAAAGCCAGCTTGAACAAGTGAGTTTTCAGCTGCTTTTTAAAGACCACAGAGTCCAGTGATCTCAGGCTCAATCAATCAATCAATCAATCAATCAAAATCAATCAATCAATACTTTAATAATCCCAGAGGGAACTTAAGAGTTTTAGTACACACAATTCAGAGATCAGACATACATGGGCAAGACACATGACAAAAATTGGTGACTGTGGTCATTCACAACCCGAGTCGCGCTACCTTAATAGAGATAAGAGGGTTACATGAGGATTGGTTCAGGTGGAGGGAAAAAAGGCACTTCAGAGTGACCCTCCACCGGGAGGGCAGCTTTGCTCTGCAAAAAAACCACCTCAAACAGATATGCAACAGACAACACAACATAACATGAGACTCCAATAGGAAGGCAGGTGGGGCTGGGATACTGTTTCCCCCAGCGAGAGCAGCCATCTCAGGCGCTCATCTGCTGTACAGTCACAGGTGGGAGGAAGATCGTGGGAGAAGCGAAGAGCACATTGACTCCTCCAGCTGATGACCTCGCCAGGCTGAAGTCCACCAATCCGAAGGCGGGGGGGGGGGGGGGGGGGGTGGGGTGTAGGCCGGGTTTTCACAGCATCTGTCTGCATTCCTTCGTGGGGGTTTTAGTTGCTTGCAGCTCAAGGCTACCAGGGCGTCAGATTCAGATAACAGGAATTTGTTTGGGTCAGGCTGAGATAATTTTCCTCTCTGCCTTCAGTCTTTAAACTGATCATTTCCAGTCCTTCAGTGAAGCCAATTTTGGGTTTTAAACTTAAACTTGTCCATACCGTCCGGCGACTCTCTCCGAGATGACATCCATTTTGTGCACTAATACCAGTATTGTAGCTATAACACTATCCAGCTTATGATTCACCTCGAGTAACGTCCCAGTCTGAGAAGTCTCCACATGGACGTTGCCTTCCGCGGGTAAAGGTCGCCCTCCAATCGCTCCCGTCCTCCCAAATTTCCAGAAAACCAGATATCCTCCCACTCCAATAAGGAGAAATCCAGTGATCATCAGACCAAATATCCACACGTCTTCGATGTCCTCAATGGACAGCTGGGAGAGGCATATGATCCTCCACTCCTTCCAGGAATCCAACATATAGCCCACTGGGTGTGTCCCCTGTAGGGTTGTCACGGTATGAAAATTTAACCTCACTGTTATTGTGACCAAAATTATCACGGTTTTCGGTATTATCGCGGTATTTTTTAAACGGTGTTGCATATGTTCAGAAAGCATTGATAGTCCTGTTCTACACAAACTGAAATAGTTCTGAAAAGGTTTAACAGTGTTTATTAAACCTAAAATAACACAAAGCCTTAGCAAAAGTGCAACTTTTCACAAGTAAAGGAACAAATAGCTTATTGTTCTGGAACATGTTACAGTAGTCAGTGCAGGTTTAAATTATACAAATCCAAACATTCAAAACATAAACAATATGTAAACAAATCAAAGAAACACCACTTGTTTTCTCATATACTTGTTTTCTTCATTATCAAAATGAAAATCTAAAACTCCAGTCCACACTTGACTTGAGCACTGTACAAGTCAACCTTAAAAAATATGTATTTAAAATAAATAGCCACTTTAAACAAATTACTAAAATAACTACTACACTATGTAATCAAATCCAAATGTTCAAGTATAAATGGCATTGAATAAGTAAACAAATCAATGACAAGGAACTAATTGTATATTTCTCTTCATCATCAACAAATAAGATGCTTCATCCAGCAACAGGGTGTCCGTGACACGGTTTAAATGCTGGCAGAGGACGCTGCGGCTGCAGTATATAGTGACTCGTTGCATTCTCCCTCAGCCAAAAGTCCTCGCGTCATGCATTTAAGCTAAAATGCTAATGTTAACTTACCTTGCACTGGCTGTAGAGACGTGGGTGATGGTCACTCAGATGTGCCATTAGATTCGAAGTGTTGCTGCCTTTTGCCGACACTTGTTTCCTGCACGTTCTGCAAACGGGATAGCAGTCTTCTATTAACTGTCCCTCAGCATTTTTCAGAAATCCAAAATATGCCCATACTTCCGAGTTAGTCTTCTTTGAGGGCTGATGGATGTCCTGGGCGCTGCCGTCTCCTCCTTCGGCCATTATTTCAGCTTCAAAGTTTTGGTGCCGTTGCAAACTAAAAAGTGCGTGTGCGCGCCGCGGGAACTTCAGCTGAAGCGACGGTGGCTGGTAAGGGTAATCGCGCCAAAACCGCGGCCACGGTAAACCCACCGAGATAATATAGTTTTTTAAAAACTGGACGGTTATTTTTATTGTCAACTTTTTTACCGGGGTTTACCGCTATACCGGTTACCGTGACAACCCTAGTCCCCTGTGGACATGTGGGAGCCCCCTGCTCTGTTCTCATTGTTGAAAAAATCTTATCGGTCGCACTGAATGACCAGTTTATCAAATCCATGGTTAGTAAAAAACAGAGTTTTTCAGAAGAAATGCAGAGAAGCACTCTGTGGGCAGACAGGATAAAGAGCCTTGGGAAAAAAAAGATAAGGGAGCGAAAGAGGGAAGCGTCTGTACTCCTCGAGTGCCAGAAGGATGAAAGACTTCCAGAGTCTGGGGGCCACAGCAGCAGATGATCTGCCACCTTTTGTCTTTAGCCTGGTGCTGCACAACCAGTAGGCTTTGGATAAGTGAAAGATGATTAATCTAACAGGCGATGGCTTAAAAGGTGGAGCTATATGACACAGAACTTTGAATGTAGTCATTTTTAAGCAGAATTTTAGTTGATTTACTCTGCTCACCTCATATGGACTCACACTGGCTAAATAATAATAATAATAATAATAAAAACAGATTAGTCCTTACATTTTAAACAGTTTAGCAATAAAGAATTAAAACATCATACTGACAAGCATAGCTAAAAAATAAGAAAAAAGTTACCAGAAGAATCTGTGCAAAACTGCATGCCAGCCCAACACAATTACCACTAGACTACCAAGTCTGTTACATGACACTTGTCGCCTAAGCCACATATCCTGAGCTGGCCAGAGCAGACAGGTTTCAGACCAGAGACTAGCAGGGCTTGAAGGCGAGACTAGTTTCCATTGACGCTTTACAAGATTTTCAAAGTAAAACTCAAAATTTGCAGCTGCAATAGAAAAATACATGAATGCAGCCAAAATGGGTTTAGGTATTTTTTTTCCATAAGGAAATAACAATATCACATCGTGAAAAGCTCCAACATGTTTGATTTTCCATGATATGGCCCCTTTAATTTCTCCAACTTCACATGTAGTCAATGAAGTTTAATGTTCAAACACTTACGGTTTCATGCTGAAGAGGTCCCGGACGGCCATGTTGGTGTTGGGCTCTCGACTCCGGTTTCGCTCCGTGAGGAGCTTGTCCTTGGTCCAAGTCATGTGCACCCGATCAGGCCCAACATCAGGCTTGTCATTAGCTGCAGCATAAGACGCTGTGTTCTTGTCATGGATGAGCTGGGCCTGGACAGGATTTAGAGACAATGGTAAGAAAACAAAGGGGGTAGGGGGCTTACTTTTATTTGGTGAAGGGTCTAAAGTATGAAACAGGAATGGGAGTGTTGCACATGCCGTTTTCACACAGGCAGAGCTTGGGCTGGGCGATATGGCCTAAATTAAATATCACAATATACTGAGTTCACCTTGATAAAGATATAGAGACGATAACTACATGCATGCGCAAAAAGAAAACAACCTAAAAAGACTGTCCACTAGATGGGGCTGTCACTGTGAGTCATGTCATGTAGGTGGTACAGCTTCTTAATAGGACATGAACATTGTCAACCTAACCACATCAATTAATAGTTATTTATTATTGAGTTTATTGTCATGGGAAAAATGATATTGGTTAGTCAGAAACTTCAGTAATGATAAATCATCCATTAATCATCCAGCCCTAGGCACAGCAGAAACAGGACCCAGACTGTTTATAGAGATAAACGCAGATTCATCAGGACTGAAAATAACATCAAGTGTGTCGACTGAAAGAGGGATACAATACAAAACAGTTTCTTTGGAGGAAGAAGACCAACCAAATACCTTTCTCACTCTAAGGCTAAACAATTTTAGGAAAAGACAGTATGTAATCAATGTTTCCAGGAGGAATTGCAATTTGAGTTTGATTTACTATTTTCTTCTAATCAAGGTTCAACAAATTATTCACAATATAATACAAATCATACCATAAAACATTAAAAGTTTTTTATTTTTTCCTATTATTATCTTTCTTAATGCTTTTATGTGCTTGTGAAACAACTTGTGATTTTTATCTATAGAGGCACTATATGTTGTATATGGGGCTATGGGGTACCCCACTGCAGTGGTTTCACTGATATCTGTCAAACAGTTTTCAAGGTTCAGTTTTGTAACTGTTCTTCTCCATGCCTGGGAGTGCCGCAGGGATCTGTGCTTGGGCCTCTCCTGTTCTCAATTTACATCCTCCCTCTGGGTTCCATCCTGAGGAAATATGGCCATGCATCTCTATGCAGATGATTGTCAGATCTACCAGGTTTTGAACAAACCAGGTGCTCTCTCTCTTCTGGACCAATGTTTGGCTGAAGTGAGGGACTGGCTTGCTGACAATTTTCTGAAGCTGAATGACTCCAAGTCTTAGGCACTCCTCATGGCTCCTAACAAAATCACACACTGACTTTCTTATTTGGACACTCTCCCATACAACCTCAAGCAGTGTGTTACCAACCTGGGAGTGAAACTGGATACCCACTTTTCCATGGGCCCTCAGTTTAATGCAGTGGTCAGATCTTGTTTCTTCCAGCTACGCCAACTGATTAACTTGAAACCAATTCTGAAACGGGCGAACCTGGAATCTGTAATTCATGCTTTTATCATCTTTCAACTGGATTATGCAAATTCCATTTTATTTGGTGTACCAGCCTCTGCTGTTAACAGGCTTCAGGTGGTACAGAATGTGGCAGCTAGGTTTCTGATGAACACTTCTAGACGTGACCATATCAAACCTGTACTGGCGCAGCTCCATTGGCTACCCATAGACTTCAGAGTGAAGTTTAAAATTCTGATCTTTGTTTTCAAGGCCCTGAATGGTCTGGCACCGGATTATCTGTCTGACCTTGTGGGTCCATGTGTGTTTTTATTTCTGCAGTGAGACAAACTCACCTCACACCATCCAGAGTTTGTTCTTTAAAGCTTCTATTAAATCCTCCATGTTGACGTATTTTAACAAGTTTCCTCTACGCCGCATTTTTTGCTGCAGGAGTTAAAGTTTACATTACGGAGTAAGGCAGACGCGTTTGTTTATATCTGGGTGGGGGGAGGGGGGACTCGGTGCTGCTCACAGACAGCTGGTGTGATCAGCTCTGAAAAGCATTGATCACAATTTGCAGATCACGTTTATTTTTCACGGAGATTGGCTGCGGATTCCTCTTCCGGACGGCATACTAGGAATCGAAATAAAAAACTTTGAACGACTCCGGGAAAAACTAACAGTTGGTCCCGATTCCAATAGATGCTCGATGCCCAACCCTACTGACAAGCATATCACACTCTTTCCATTTTTTTAAGATGGCGACGTAACGTTTCTGTTTATAAGTGTGCTTCTATAGCTGACAAACAGCTAAAACATGTTGTTTTACGAGTATTATTCGCATGTCATGTTGTGTTCTCATATATTTATATTTTAGAGACTTACTTGTCTGTGAAAATTTCCTCAACTCTGCATCAGCTGAGGTATTGCTTTAATTTGAAGAGGTATTCCTTTAATTTGAAGCAAGTAAGCGGTAGTCTAACGCTATTGGTAAGTTCTGGTCGACGCTCAGTTTCCTATTGCATGGAGCTCTGCAGGGCAGGGGGCGAGCTTAGCAAAAAAAAAAAAAAAAAACAACAACAAATGTTTTATTGCTTACATTATATCACAGTACATGATAAGATAATCACTTACGGACTTTTGACAAATCATACCTAATTTCTGAAAGAAGAAAACTCCGGAAAAATACTTTAATGCATAAAAAACGCGTTTATTTAGACAGCCCTAATTTATATGCAACATCAACCACAGCCAGCTCTTCTAATAAAATCACCCCTCTTTATATGAAACAAAACAGTAAACAAGTTTGATAAAAAAAAAATCTTCAGTTTTACAATCTGATGTCTACTTACTTAATTCCTGAATTCTGACTTGAACATCTACATTTATAATTTCTGGGTCCAAATGGAGCAGGTATAGGGTAGCCACAGCTGAAGCTTAGTAAAGACAGCCCTGTGTGTCTAACAATGAGGGTCAGTGGTGGAAACATTGAACTACCTCATCCTCCTGAGTATCCTCCATCGTTGAGGCCTGCTGGCTGAGGTTGACTGTCTCTGTAGCACCCTGGTTCTTCCTCCGTATTGAGCTACGTGATTCATCAGTGATACTCTGAATCTGAGTGGTGTGGTCCAAACAGACAGTGGGGATGAAAAGAAAAAGGGGCGAGTTGTCAGACAGCTCACATTTCCACAACCTAAACTAGATTGTTTATATGTACATTATCAAGGGTAAAATGTGACACCTTCTTGTCTTTAATGGCAACATGATTTCATCTAGAACTAACCCAAACCATATTGTGTTGAAAAGCACTTTACCTCTCGCTCTCTTTCAGTCCTAGAAAGGTGCATCTGCTTCAGCATTTGAGATCGCTGTTCCATCACCAGTGTTTTCTCATAAGTGAAGGCTGATATGTCATTATCATGCTAAAAAGGTAAAAACAGAGCATTTAAAAATATTGGTAAATGCACTGTATTTAAAATAGCACCTTCTAGATTTCTACAACCCACCCAAAGTGCTTCACTAGACAGTCACACACACATATGAACACACTGGTGGTGATGAGCTACACTGTAATTGCAGCTGCTCTGTGATAAACTGACAAAAGTGAGGCTGCTGAGCACAGGTTCCACTGGTCCCTCTGACCACCACTAGCATGTGAGGAGGGTCAAGTGTCTTGCTCAGGTCACAATGACTGCAACAGACTAAGCGGGATTTGATCCTGCAACCCTACAGTTACAGGAATGACATTTAACTCCTCTGCCAGTCTCTGTGCAAGTTTGTGTTAGTTTAAGTAGGGTTCCAAGCCCAAAGGGCAGGGAACCCTATTGTTTTTGTACAGATTTTTCATTATTATCATTATAGTCATATTATTATCATAATTGTTTTTGTACAGTTTTTATTTACTCATTTGTTATTATTTATTATTCTTCTCCGCTAAAGTGACATGTGTGCAAGAGTCCGCTCCACAGAATTAAAAATTCATTTCCAGAAACTCTATTGCAAAGGTCAATGCATTCTCCCAACCATAAGCCGCACATTCAAAAAATTTATATGTGCTTGGTCCTTGAATGACTCAGCATTTTTTATGTATTGGCCATGCCCATTTCTGCCTAACTAGATTTTTTTCTAGATTGAAAAACTTGAAAGATAGTTTTAATAATAATAATGATAATAATAATAATAATAATACATTTTATTTAAAAGCACCTTTCAAAACACCCAAGGTCACTTTACAAGATAAAACACAATAAATACAGCAAAATACCAGGATAAAAAAAAATCAAACTGTCATTAAAACAGATCAAACAAGTCACAAGTCGTAAGTAGTTTTGAACAGATGAGTCTTGAGTCTGGATTTCAAAAGGGTGAGGCTGTCAATGTTTCAGATGTCTGGGGGGAGTGTGTTCCAAAGATAGGGAGCAGAGCAGCTGAAAGCTCTGTCCCCCATGGTAGTGAGGTGTGCAGGAGGGGCAACAAAGTGGAGAGAAGAAGAGGATCTGAGTGGACATGATGGGGTAGCAATATTAACGAGGTCTGTTAAATAGGGAGGAGAAAGATTATGTATTGCTTTGAAGGTGTGGAGGAGGATCTTGAAGGTGGACCTAAATTTAACTGGAAGCCAGTGGAGCTGCTGAAGAACGGGGTGATGTGGAGAAAGGATGGGGTTCCGGTGATAACACGGGCTGCTGAGTTCTGGACCAGTTTAAGTTTATGAGGGAGTTTATTGGGGAGATCAAAAAGAAGTGAACAGCAGTAGTCAAGACGGGAAGTGACAAGGCTGTGACGAGAGTGGCTGCAGCATGAGGGGCCAGGGAGGAGCGAAGACGATTTATGGATGAAAGGTAGAAATAGGCTAACCGAGTTATGTTATTGATGTGGGCATGGAAAGACAGTGAACTGTCGAGGATAACACCCAGACTCTTAACCTGCGGAGAAGGGTAAACTGTGGCACTGTCAATGGTTAGGGAAAAGCTGTCAGTTTTGGAGGTGTTGGATTTTCTACCAATAAGTAGAATCTTGATTTTATTGCCGTGAAGTTTGAGAAAATTTGAGGGGAACCAAGATTTGATGTCAGAGAGGCAGTGGGTAAGGGATGAGGGTGGGAGAACGGAATTAGGTTTTATATATATATATATATATATATATATATATATATATATATATATATATATATATATATATATATATATATATATATATATATATCCTCCTCTATATATATATCAACTTAACTCTGGGATTAACCCAATTGCTCAACATGCTGTACTCATTATGAACATGTTTAAAAAAAGTACCTTACAACTGGTAACAATACGTATGTAAAAGGAAATACCATATTGATTTGACTATAACTTTTATCAGCTTGTAATCTAGTCACAAAGAGGCCACGCTTCTTACTGATATTTAAGTTTTTTTAATCTCCTTGTACCACAAAACACAGTGAAAACTGAAAATAAAAATGCTGTTTTCGATTTAAGTTATGCTAGCTGAAGAATGCACAAAGGATGCTTTAACAAAAAAAAAAAAAGAAAAAAAAAAGAAAATATTGAACTCTGTGGCAAACACAGTAATATTTGTTTTAAAAGACACAAGTGAACATTTTCTTAGAGTGTAATGAGTTCTCAATGTATATTTGTGACTTAGAAAAGTACCTGAGAATCAAATGACTGACACGGAGTCCTGGCGTTGCCATGAAAACATGTAAACGCTGAGCATTCTACCTGAACAGCGCCTGCTACACAGCTTTAATCAAGCAGCTAGTGGTCTCTATTTTTAGTTCTGATACCTTTGTAGTCCTCATAGGCATGAATGAATAATTCTTGCTCAGTCCGGAAGAACAAGAACAAAAGTTTCTATTTTCATTAATCAGGCACCGATTAATAGGGGCTTCCTGACGCGCTCCTCGCTTGATTTAGCGAGGATTGAATCCACTTGAGCTTTGCTCGTGCAACCGAAAAGCCCTGCAGTGAACTGGTGCGCTATCTATAAGCGAAGCTTTTTAAAAAAAGTCTCACATTTCTGGAAACCCCAGCACTTCCGTGTCACTTCGTTGACGCTCGAACGCTCAGGGATTCCTAGATTAAATCGTGAGCCGGCGTTTCACTGGCGCTCTCACTTCCGCGTCTGTGAAACCACGCTCTCAACAAGCTCAGCTGCCGACCCCAGCCGATCAGTCTGACAGCAGGGTTGTGTCAGTCATCATTGCGTCGCCTACAGGTTGTGCAGAACAGCGCAGCCAGGTTCCTGACTGGGACCAGGAAACGGGACCACATCAGTCCGGTTCTGGCCTCCCTGCACTGGCTTCCGGTTTGCTATCGCTCACAATTCAAAATCCTCGTCTTTGTTTATTATTTCTTCCAGGGTAGTGGTCCCCCCCATCTAGCCACACTCCTGAACAGACATTCCCCATCACGCGCTCTGCGCTCCTCTGACCAAGGCCTGCTCGCTGTCCCTCGTTCTAGGTGTCGTACTCGCAGGGACCGGGCTTTCTCAGTCCTAGCACCGTCACTCTGGAACGAGCTGCCACCATCAGTTAGGCTGTCCCCATCTCTGCCAGTCTTTAAGAGTCGCCTAAAAACACACCTCCTCTGCTTGGCGTTTCCTGAACATGTTTGATTTTGGCCGTCTTTTATGTTGAATTTATTTTACAGTTTTCATTGGTTCACTCAATCCATTGTTTTACACATTTGTCCTGTACCAGAATGTTTCACCTTTTTTGTAATTTGTATTTTGTCATTTGAATTGCTTTTATTTTTGATTTATTCAATATATTTACCTTCTAATGTACCATGTTCAGCGCCTTGGGCTTCCTGACAGGGTTGCGGAAGGCACTTTATAAATAAAGCTTTGATTGATTGATTGATAAATGTTTGCTCTCTTCTGTGTGTTCAGACATAAAAGAAAAAAAAAAAGAGATGAACCCCCCAGCAGATGTACAGAACATCGATCTACACCCACTTCCCTCTTTTCTAACGATGGGGGAATGGAACCTGGTGCTGATCTTTGCCCCTGTAAGAACCTTTAGGTAACCATGGTAAACACTCTCTGTTAACCTGATTTTTATTATGGAAAAACTCAGCCAATGGCACTAACTGCCAATTTGTTTCTAGATGTTAACATGTTAGTAATTTAAGATGACGAAGGCAGTCACTGCGTGGTTTAGTCTGGCTGTTATCATGCTGATAGTGGTGTGAAAAACTATTTGCCCCATCCTGATTTCTTATTCTTTTGCATGTTTGTCACACAAAATGTTTCTGATCATCTAACACATTTAACCATTAGTCAAAGATAACACAAGTAAACACAAAATGCAGTTTTGAAATGATGGTTTTTATTATTTAGGGAGAGAATAAAATCCAAACCTACATTGCCCTGTGTGAAAAAGTTATTGCCCCCCTTGTTAAAAAATAACCTAACTGTGGTGTTTCACACCTGAGTTCCATTTCTGTAGCCACCCCCAAGCCTGATTACTGCCACACCTGTTTCAATCAAGAAATCACTTAAATATTAGCTGCCTGACACAGAGAAGTAGACCACCTCAAAAGCTAGACATCATGTCAAGATCCAAAGAAATTCAAGAACAAATGAGAACAAAAGTAATTGAGATCTACCAGTCTGGAAAAGGTTATAAAGCCATTTCTAAAGCGTTGGGACTCCAGCGAACCACAGTGAGAGCCATTATCCACAAATGGCAACAACATGGAACAGTGGTGAACCTTCCCAGGAGTGGGCGGCCGACCAAAATTACCCCAAGAGTGCAGAGACAACTCAACAGAGAGGTCACAAAAGACCCCAGGACAACTTCTAAAGAACTGCAGGCCTCACTTGCCTCAATTAAGGTCAGTGTTCACGACTCCACCATAAGAAAGAGACTGGGCAAAAATGGCCTGCATGGCAAATTTCCAAGACGCAAAACACTGTTAAGCAAAAAGAACATTAGGGCTCGTCTCAATTTTGCTAAGAAACATCTCGATTGCCAAGACTTTTGGGAAAATACCTTGTGGACTGATGAGACAAAAGTTGACCTGTTTGGAAGGCAAATGTCCCGTTACATCTGGTGTAGAAGTAACACAGCATTTACTTGTGTTATCTTTGACTAATGGTTAAATGTGTTTGATGATCAGAAACATTTTGTATGACAAACATGCAAAAGAAATCAGGAAGGGGGCAAATAGTTTTTCACACCACTGTAAGATGTGTCCTATGTACCTCTCATTGAGCTGTTGACAAAATTGCGCCCACATTTTCAAAGATAAACACATTTCTTTTAACAATAGAAGTGTTTGCATCTTTACTGTTCCCCTGCTTGAGCCCCTCCCCAGGACACAGCCGTCTGGAGCACATCAACGATCAGAGCTCTACGCCTCTCAGCTCAAAATAATCCCCGGAGAGTCCAGATGAATAATGTAATATAAGTAGAACTGGGATCTTTTTCCGGCTCCCTCTAGCTGTGTATTTGAAGGCTTCCAGGAGCTCCTTTTAGCTCACTCATAATTCAAACCCTGCGTATAGCACAAGTTGGTTGCATGAGTTGCCGGAACCTAGCAGACAGTTGCCGGAATGGTCCTTTCAAAACAAGACAGTTCCTGGATCTTGTTCCGGCAAGATCTGGCTCAAATTAAACCCTGACTGAGACATTCGGTATTGCGCTTCCCCATTCAGCCACTAGATGCTGTGCGTATGCACAGTCAGAGATGTTCTTACATTTAGGAACGTTTCTACACACAAGTACAAAATGATAAATATCACACAATGAGTAGAACTGTTCCTACGCACGAAATAAGCACAGATCTGTGCGTAAGTACGTTTGATAAATGAGGCCCCTGGTCTTTGTTTTGAACTCTTTGTCAGGATCTGCCCCATCATATTTAGCCTCACTGCAGACCCATTATGTCATCACTGCGTTTGGGTCAGAGTGACCTTTTTGTGGTTCCGCGATCAAAGCATAAATCCAGGGGTGATCGTACCTTTTCAGTTCTGGGTCCCCAGTTTTGGAACCAACTGCCGCTAGAAATAAAACAGTCCCCCTGCTAACTGTGCACTTTTAAAGCTAGGCTTAAATGTTTATCTTAGATCTATTTCTTAGTTGTACTACTCATGTTTCAATGTTCTGATCAACATTGTTGTTTCATTGGGTTTTAACTCTTATTGCCTTTGAATGTTTTATTTTTGTATTTTACTGAATAGTTGTTTTATTGTGTTTTAGTTGTTTTTCACATTATGCATTGTTTACGAAAACCTTTAAGCCACGCCTGCCAAACTGGCAGACATGGGAGTGTCTCACGCAGTACATTTTTTAACTACATAGGACAATGTCCTTGTGTGCTTCAAATTTGTATTTATTTGAGAGTAGGTATTGTAGTGACCTCTGACCTTATCAGTATGATTTTCTGCAAAATGCAGAAAGTGAGGATAAGACAGTTCCTCTGCTTAGAAAAAAACCTGAATTTACCAGGAATTTCATCATATAATTATTAGAAATTATTATTAAACACCAGAAACAACAGAAACTATTTCTAAACATTGTAATGATCTATAAGGGCTTTTTTGGATTGCTGTTGTAGCCTAATGTTACTGTTCCTTTAAGAGTCACATTGGCTGGATGAAGAGTCAAAATGAAACTGGTGATTTGGGTTTATCTCAGCTATTGGACTACTCTAGTAAACCACTGTTAGGGCAAAATGTGTTTCTGTCTGGCATTGTAGTTCAGCACAAATATCACAATAATAAGAAATTATCTTGAGTTTGTAATACAGCTGCTTAAAGCCTCTGGTGCACCACGCACCATGTGCTAATCAGTTATAATGCTGGGAAGAAGCGCTCCAGCAGGCAGCTGCTGCAGAGACCAGAGACGATTTCTGATGGATTATTGAAAAAAAAAAAAACATACATGTCACAAAATCAGAGCAAATGATCAACAAACAGTTTGTGGTTTTTAGGAAGTTTTTATTTTTGCAAGTTCAGAAAAGAGGCATGTCAATGTTAATGTCAGACGATTTAAAGTTATTCATCTGACATTATCAAAACATGTCGGTAATGTCTGACTGTTTTCGCAAACACTTCACTATGTTCAGTACCTTGGGCCCCCTTGATTTGTGGTAGGAAGGAGCTTTATAAATAAACTTTAAATTATGAGTAAAGCATCAAATACATTATCAAATCCCAGAGGGCGGCTGGTTTACCTATAGTCTAATGACTGTAACTGCTAACAGCACAATGCTAAAATAAATAAAGGTACTCTTGGTTTTTTGTTGTGGTGTAGAAAAATAAAACATAACCCTTTAAAAATCTAAATAATCTGAAATTTGAGCTATCGCACAGGATGTTTACTTACCATCTCCACAACTTCCACTGCAGCGTCCAGTCGCAGGTGATAAAGGAACATCTGTAGATCCTTCTTCATTTGAATACTATTGTCATCCATCTGGGCAACAGTGAAGATACGCATCTTACACTTCCTCCACACCTGGGCAGAAATACATGATGGATGGATGAAAGAGCTTGAAATGAATATGAAACTTAGCACGCTACATGTTTACTTTTCACATGCTGTGTATAATGTGTACGCATGTATAATTCTAATTATATTGTTTATAAATTAACTGACATAAGTAAACTTTAAAAAACCTCAAGAAATTATTAGCAAAACATAACATGAAATAAAAAGTTTGTCCTGGTTTGTCAGGCTGTTTGGACCTAATGGACTGAATTAGATTTTAATGATAGCCTACCCCCATATGGCGAATCAATAACTACCTTGTGCTGTCGCAGCAGGAAGGGCAGCAGCATCAACATGCCTCCATCATGAACCACCCACCACACATCAATAGTGCCCTCTCCCAGGCAGTCCTGGTTGGTAGGGAAACTGTCCACATTTTTGGCCACGAGTAAGGCCTGATGGGCCGCTGTAGTCTCACGTATGGTCTCTGGATGGACAGAAGAAAAAAATCTGCAGTGTTCAGTTATAACGTACAGGCAAGGTTCAATGCCCTGTATTTGTACAGTATATATAATATATATATATATATATATATATATATATATATATATATATATATATATATATATATATATATATATATATATATATATATATATACACATACATACATACATACATCACTTATACACTAATTTTCTTTGTTGTGACATCACAATAAGGGAGTTTGTCAAACTAAGGTAATGCTTCCTGGCACAACACAACAGCAGTTTAAAAGGATACAAAAAGGCAAGTTTTGCAAAAGATGTCCACTTTAACTTTGAACCATGATGTACCTATGAAGTTCCTCCAAGAGGTTGGGTCGTTGGACTGCCTCCAGGTTCCAGGCCAGCTCATCAGGACTGAATTGTGCTTCATCCCTCCCAAACCTGCAGACTGGATGAGGTGGGAGACACCATCTCTGAGGTCTGAAGACACCACAACATGACAGAAGCCCTTGGTCCGCTCAGCTGCCATGGCAGACTTGATGTTCTAGTGGGCAAAACAATGGAAAAAGTGGTAGAATTAGCTGTTCGTAATATTTTGGAAAAACAAATAGCATTTAGAGTTATTTGCCCGTTTTGTTCAGTAGATGGTAGAACACATCTGTAAAGACTTGCGCTAAACTAACTAACTTCTGAATATGCAAGTGGCTCTAGAAATTACACTATAAAACATGAATAAAGAAAATAACAAATATATAAAAGCTAACAGTTAATTGGTAGTAAATCAGGTAGTATGAAATATTAAATTATATTCAGCAGCAACCAGAAACATAAGATCCAAAAGAAAGTCAACATGCATCAACTCATTTGTATATCCAGTCCTTTGACCATCTGTCGGGCACATTCACTAACCTGCTCAGCTTTCTTGGCCTCTTCTTCTTTAGTGAGGTAAGTTCCTTCAAAAACATTACCCACAATTGTCAGGCCTTTCCCTGCTTTTAGCTGAGTGGTGAAGGACAGCAGACGAGGGTGTTTGACTCTCTGATCTGAGTCCAGGTTCAGTAGCACCAATAACTGAGGCCTGGGCACAAAAAGAAGCAAAGAACATTAGGACAAACTGTTTAAGCATCTTTTGTCAGACTAAGATACCAACTACCTAACAAGAAGTAGTGGTGTAACTGTACTTTCTGACAGTTATACATTTAGTTTTTAGTCTTTGCAAAACATTATTTTAAACAACCCCTCCAGAGACCACCACATAAAGACAGTTCAGATACATAAGTGTTTTATTGACAGTTTCAAAGGTGAGTAGAAGCAAAAGGTAATCATTCATTTCAGCTACACTGGACCCTTACTGGGTTACTGAGTGTTTTCATGTCTAAAACCTTGTTGCCTGGCAAATCTAAACGTTCACTAGGTGTGAGCGAATAGGAAAACTGTTGTGTGTTCTTTGAGTTCAGGGACATGTCTGAGATAGAGGTAGATCTGTTTCAGGAGGAAAAATGGGTTGTCCCATTATCAGATGGTTGAAGGTTTGATCCCAGCTGCTGCCAGAGAATGCTGCTTTTGAGCCCTTGGGCAAGACACTTAACCTGCCTTGCCTGCTGGTGGTGATGCGAGAGACTGGTGGCGCCTGTCTTCGGCAGTCTCTCATCCGACAGTGCGCCCCAGGGCAGCTGTGCCTACACTGTAGCTCATTATCACCAGCGTGTGTATGTGTGTGTGAATGGTTGAATGAGGAACTGTGTTGTGAAGTGCCTTGTGGGGTTGGAAAACTCTAAGAAGGCAATATACAGATACAGGCCATTTACTATACAAAATGAGTCATTTCAGGACATGTCCGCATCTTACCTGCAAACTCAGAAGGTGTGAAAATGGTGAAAACTAAAATACCCCCCCCCCCCCCGTCCCATTTGATAGTAGGTTTTGTAGTGACCTCTTATATTTACATACTTATCGTTACTACAGTAATCTGTAGGAATAATTTCAATGTATCATCAAAATGCAAAAGAATTTTTCACCACAAGGTTCCTCTTTTCAAGAAAAAAAATACAAACAGAAACGATGAAATTATATAAATTATTAACCCTACTGCACACTGGAAGCATCAGCGGTGCGGAATGTCATTGCTTCAAATAGAATCCATTAGAGAGTTGGGGGTGATCCAACGTAGCCGTGACTGCAATTTTCAGACGCATCCCAGAAACGGCATGCTGCGCTGTGCCGATAAGTTTCTACACCCTCCCGATTGCTCAGATCTTCAGCTTCCATCAACCTGCACAAACCCCCAGCTCGCCTCGTCACCAATGGAAGTCGAGCATTCAGCAGATCTGCCCCCTCCCTGTGGAATTCATTACCAGCTGAACTCAAGAACACCACTACCCTTCACCATTTCAAGGCTTAACTCAAAACTCACCTGTACAAGACAGCCTATTCCTTCTAACCGTATTTTATGTGTTTTATCATGGTTTTAATTTGACTTAATTTATTGTTGTTTGCTTCTATAAATGATTTCATTTCATTTGACTGGACAGTGACCATGAGTTTTTAGAAAGGCACTTCAAATAAAATGTATTATTATCATTATTAATATTAAAAGGTAGGATCGGGTTCTGTTTTTTCTGCGAGCTACTTCAGGGATGCGTAATTTCGGCAGCTAAAGGAGCATGGGGCAGGAATTGTCCAAAAACAAGACGTAAATAGGATACATGTTCATTCTTGTGAAGCTAATGGGTGATGAAGTATTTTAAACTACAAAGAATGATGAAACCCATTTATCATTCCATTTTGTTAAACAGGCTGTGTGCTGCAAAACGCGCAACAGTTTGGATCCGAATTTCTCGCGCTGTTTTACGGATCTGACGTTAATTGATGCTTCAAGCGCGTTCTTGACAAGCGTCAAAACCGGAAGAAGATTTAGAAGCTTGCTAGGTGGCGGCAATGTGTCTTTCGCTACTAGCCGCATTAAAACCTCAAATAGAAGTGGAAGAACCCTGGAAATGGATTCTACAACTAGCAAAAGACCTAGCGCAACTCAAAGCCCACTAAAGAGTGGCACAAAGAAGAAGGTTTTATCAGCGGCATCTCGAGAGTCAAAAAGAAAATGATAAAAGTCGGTCAGGGACCCGAATATGTATTGGGTACGCTCTGGAAGAATGGAGGCTGCTTCAACTCGATCTGGGCCTGAAAAAGGATGCGGAAATGGCGCATTTTCTAGGGACCAGGTAAGAAATAGGTAAACATATCAGAGTTGTATCTCCACAATTTAAGCAAAGAAAATAAAACCTATGGATTTAGATAATACTGGTTTAGGTAATCTAACAAATCTTTGTGCAGATGAACAAAAAACAAGAAACTTCTCAAAGCTAACGGTGTTTAGCATATAGCTTCCTGATCCGTTTGAAAAAGCTAAAAGCAACTAAGGAGTAATCGGATCACTTCTACGTTTTGTGGACGACACACCGCTTGTCTTTGGAGATAAATGGATGCTCCGTTTATTCTGATGAGAAAAGTAAACAGAGCTTGATTTGTTTATATGATCTCACCAATCAGTCAGAGAGAGCTAGCGTGCGGTAGCATTTTAGCTGTGATCACGCTTCAGTTTCTGTGTACCACAGAAGAGAACGGACATTTTCCAAACCAAAGATGAGTCTTTAGAATTATGTCATATTTGACCTACAGTCCAACCTCTAAGCAGGACTTTACTTCAGTAGATGCACAAATCACACACTTTGGATACAAAGCTGTGAATTTCGCTGAAAGGTGTGGGATTTTTGTCTGTAACCCACTCACACATGGTATTGCGTACCTCCAGTTCTTGGTGTGTGGTGGAGCATCCTCAAGGCGAAGTAAGGCGTAGCGAGCTGCGTTAAGTGAGAGGCCTCGGATTCCATCACCCCATTCCTTCTCAGCTCTATTGAGGAACAAGCAAAACAAGTGAAGTGAAAATACAAACTTATACCATAAAATTATTAAAACTAGTTGTTTAAAGGTTTTCTTTGCTGTAGTTCAGTTTTTATTAGCTTGTTAGAACAATTCTATAATTCTACCAGCAAAGGTTTGCTACTCTCTTCTAGCTGATACATTTAACCAAATTAAAGTTAAACTGCACAAACCACAGATGAACCAAAAAGTTATGAAAACAACACGAATCCTACCCTCTGTATTCAATGTATTTGTAGATGCAGCCTGCTATGACCATGGCAACAAGTGCATAATACCAAGAGGAAATGAACATGATGGCAATACACAAGCTCATCCCCAGGAACGACAGGGCCCTATCGAAGGAGAAATAGATCTTAAAAAAAAGAAACTTCCTTCTGAACATATTTATGCAGCGATATACAGTTCATTACTATTTGTGGAAGTCTTTGAAAAATGAAACATGTTCATAGAGGAAAGCTGGCAGTATAGGACTACAAATTAGAATAAATTCTACAGTTAACAAGTGCTGGTTTTGTGTTGTTTTAAGTCTGCATTGTGAACTTCACCTTAATACAGGTTGTTATACAACAGAAGCTTTATGTTCCATTTGCCACTGGAGCACTTGGCCATTACACTAAATCTCAGTGGAATTCCTCAGACTTATGTCTTTTCACTGTGTATGCAGTTTTCAAACCCCAGTCAGAACCTACACTATTTATAATCAACACATCAACACCTACCAGTGGTAATACTTGAAGCGTGGTCTCCAGTTAGGAGTTCTCAGGAGGGTCTGAACAGCACAAGCCAGATTAACAAACATGTAGCACATGAGGAAAAACCTGCAGGAAGAGAAAAGGTTGATAACAATCCAAAATGACGCAAGCCATCTATCTACATCTTCTCCTCATGACTATATAATCAGCTTTAAAAAGCAGTACACTATGCAAACTAATACTGACATGGAAAGAATGGGTGCTACAGAATCCAGGGAGGCAATTAGGATTCCAATCTCACAGATCCCAGCAGTCAACAGTAAAGCCCAGGTAGGTTCTCCGTTAGCTTTCCCATGTCCAAAGACCTTTAACAAGGTACACAAACTTATGTCAGTGCTGAAGCACATCAGTGTAAAGGGATTTGATTATGTATGTGTTTGAGTCGAACCTGTAAGAATGGGACAATGCCATCTCGTGCAATAGCCTGAAGTAGGCGGGGGGCGCCTGTCAGGCTCTGCAGACCAGCCCCACAGCATGAGAAGAATGAACCAATCACAATGACCCAAGGTGAAGGCCAAGACAGTGTGCCGATAACAAGGTTGCCTTTCACAGAGTCACCAAATCTGCAGCAGAAAAACAACAGCTGAATGCAAATAAGCATTTGCTGGTCATATGTAGGTCAGCACAGCTCACCAACTCTTCCCTGTTAATAAGAGCTTTCAGTCAGCTGTGAATGACAGCTGAAAGTAAGTATCACAACATTTTCTCTTGTTAAATAAAGATTAAGACATTGTTTTACAAATGTTTCTGAAAAGTCTTTGACTACCAGTAATACACCACATACAAATATTTTTTAAAAAGGTATGCCATTTTGGAACAATTGTTTAAAAAAAGCTACAAGAGTTAGCATATTTATCAGGAATATAGTGTTAGATTGGTACCCAGTTAAGTAGCTAATAGCTTTTACATTTTACAGCACTTAAAACTGCAAACCAGAGAAATTTTTTTATCTGACGCCACCATCTAGTGGCTGACAAATGTATTGCACCTTAAGTCATGTTTTCACTTCCGAATATCAACGGTCAAAAGCAACGCCTCTTGTTCACGAACGTGCACCTCTAGCCGAAAAAAAGACTTAACACAATACAATTTTTTTTCTCATGTTATTGAATATAATATATTTTATTGATCCCACAGTGGGGAAATTCATTTGTTACAGCAGCACAAACACTTGAGAATAATTTGAAGAAAAATAATAAAGATACATGTATCTATACACATAGGTAGTAGTCTACAATTGTAACTTTTGACCACTAAAACTACGAATAAAATTTTTTTAAAACTTGGGTTCCAACCAAGCCTCCACAATGCGGGTGAAAAATTGAAGCAAACGCAGAAATGAAATAAATTGCAGTTTCACCCTCATCCGCTGGGGGCTGGTGTCAGAAGCGAGCAAATCCTCATTGACTCCCATGTTAAAAATACCAATTTCATAGCAGAAATAAACATGTTTACAGCCTGGTACCAAAACATCTTTTTTGTTTAAATTATCTAGTTTACACTCATGACAACTCTGAGGGGGGTGAATTTTTTTCTCACTCTTCTGTTTAAGTGTATTAAAAGCCTAAAATTCTGTATAATTAATGAGCATCATACCCACGTGACCGCAGAGCTAGCTCTGGGGAAAGGCCTCAGTCTGAGCCTCGGCCTCGCCTGAAAACTGTTCGGTCATTTTCAGTCTCTCAACTTAACCATTAGTTGTAGCGTTTGTGTATTCTTTTTTTGGATGTTATTTGTGCAATTGTTGGACAAAATGACTTGCTGTGGCATTAATTGCACTAAAGGAGTGTCCAAGGAGTCTCCACTTCATTTTTTTCGGTAAGTAAAATTATATTTATGTATTTTAGGTCACTGCCGAGCTGAGCTTAGATTTTAACATGTACTGTTTAACCATGAAATTTAAATGTAATAGGGTAAAACCCAGTGCATTTAACATAATGGGTTGAAATGTAACATGTTGATGGAGCTGGGCTCTGACTATCGGCTTGTGGAGCTCTCGAGAGATTTCAGTTTTCCACCCCGTTCTCCCCTCCCCGCAGCTCGGCACATCTCCGTGTGATCGCGGCTCCTGACTGCTGCGCCGGCTGCCGGCTTGTGGAGCTCTGGATGGAAACCGATGTTTTCCACCCGGTTCTCCCCTCCCTGCAGCTCGGCGCATCTCTGTCTGATTGCGGTTTCTGTCTGCTGCGTGGGCTGCCGGCTTGTGGAGCTCTGGGATGGAAACCTTTCCACCCGGTTCTCCCCAGCGGCAGCTCTGTGCATCTCAGATCGCGGCGGGACTTGTCTGCTGTGCGACTGCCGGCTTGTGGAGCTCTCGGAAGACCTCTGTGTTCCACCCGGTTTTACCCAGTGGTCAGCCCGGCGTATCTCTGGCTCAGCTCTGGTGTTGTGCACAGTTAACTCCGGTTGTAGCTAGGTTGCTACCTTTGTTAGCTTAGCTCCCACCTCCGCGTTAGCTTTGGGTTAGCTTCAGGTTAGCTTGTAGCTAGGTCGACCGGGTGTCGTCAGTTCATCCCAACCTTACAGCCCCACCCTCAGCTCCACCTCTCTTCCCTTTTGTGGAATTGTCTGGGCTTGACGGAACCTGTGACACGGTCAAAATGGCGGTGGTGGCCATCTCCCATTTTTCTTCAAAAAAGTGTTATTGGAGCCTATGGAAACCCATTGTCCAATATTTATATGTCGATGGTCCCAACACTATGCAGCATACTGCAAAAGACAACAACTATGTAAATCTGGTACTGCATGAGTATTGAACACATACTGAATATTGCATTGGTGTTATTATGTAACAGGATAATGCCAGTACAGCTTAAACTGAGGAGTTCTACACTCTTACTGCAGAGGGGATGAATGACCTATGGTAGCGTTCTGTTTTACATCTGGGATGTCTTAGTCTGCCTCTGAAGGAGCTGTCCATGGCCTACACAGTGGAATGCTGTGGGTGGGAGGGTTTTTGAAGATGGTGTTCATCTTCCCCAACATCCTCCGTTCACACATCTCCTCAACTGAATCTAGTGGGCAGCTCAGAACCGAGCTAGCTTCGTTTACTAACTTGTTCAGCCTCGTCCTCTCTCGGTCAGAGCTGCCTGCATCCCAACAGACTACAGCAGAGTGGATAACAGAGTCAACCACAGAGTAATAAAAGGAATTTAGCAGCTGGGAATTAACCGTGAAGGACCTCAGCCTCCTCAGGAGGTGGAGGCACCTTTGGCCCTTCTTAAACAGAGCATCTGTGTTGTTGGTGTCACGTATTGGAGGGATGGTAGAACCCAAATTGCAGAAACCCAGGATGGCACGAGGCAGGAGATGATTAAAGTAAAATCCTTTATTTTTGGAAGGGTGAACAAAATAAATCCAGGTAGTGAGCCAAAGTCTGTGAACACAATAAATCCAGGCAGCGAGCCAATGTCCAAAAAACTCCAAGGCTGGAGAAATAAAGCTAACCAAGAGCACGAGCAAACACAGACAGAATCTATATATATACAACAATGAACCGACACCAGACACAGACAAGACAGAGCTTATATACACAGGGAGAAGTGATTAGGGAAAATGGCGGCAGGTGTGTGAAGTGAGGGCTGGAGGGAAGACAGGTGAACCTAATAATCAAAATGGGCAAACAGAAACAGAGGAGGGCCAAATAACCTAAAACACTCTAAGACACAAAACTAAACCAAGAGGCTGCGGGAAGGACTAACACACACACCATCAGAACTACACACACAGAGCTGGGGACATAAAAGCTGGGGACTACAAGGACACAGAATGTAAATGAGACCAAGACCTAGGAGGAATAGACTTAAAGGACTACCAACATAAGACACATAATGGACGCAGACAAAGGACACATGAGGGCGGTAGAAGACAACAAAAGGGGAATCTAAAGAGGGATGGAGGACATAAGGAGACACATGGGGAAGTCACAGACGCAGACATGACAGTTGGACCATTTCAGTTTGCTATTGAGGTGAACACCCAGGTACGTAAAGGTATCCACCACCTCAATGTCTGCTCCACAAGCACCATCATACATTGGTGATCTTCTCAGTCCCTGAGGTCCAGCGACCAAAGCCTACTGGTTGTGCAGCACCAGGTTAAAGACCAAAGGTGACAGATCATCTGCTGCTGTGGCCCCCAGACTCTGGAAATCTCTTCCCCTGAGCCAGAGAGCAGTGAACTCAGTGGACTCCTTTAAAAAAGCAGCTGAAAACTCACCTGTTCAAACTGGCTTTTGCATGACCTTCATCATTACCCTCTCCTTATCTGCCCTTTCAACTTATTACACCTTCCCCACGATCCACTTATTTCCCTCTTTCCTTTTCATTTTTTCTATCCCTTCCCTTACATTATTATATTTTTATCACAATTTATATATTTTTTTCTCTCATTTTAAACATACTTTTAATAATTTTTTAAAATCTTTTTTATACTTTAATCTTTTTTTGTGAAGTGCCTCATAATTTTTGTCTTGAGAGGAGCTATCTAAAAGATTTTCTTTCCTTCCTTCTTTCTTTCTTTCCTTCTTTCTTTCATGATTTTCACAGGATTATGGGGGATTAATATAAACCCATTGCAGCGTGACGTCATATGCTCACACCCCTGCACCTGAGCCCCAGGCTGGAGAGCAAGAAGACGGCTACTCCCTGTTGACCACAGGCTTGTTTATCTGTTAGTTATCAATAAACGGAGCTAAATGGTGGCAAAATAAAATCTATCAGCATGGTTAACAAACACAGTGCTTTAGGATGCACATGTAGATGAAAGTAACTTGCAATGATCTATATATACATTTTAACAGGGACATTGTTGATTCTTCAATTGAACCTGCACTGCTTCCTGAAGAAGTTTGTTTACAACAGCACATGAAGTTTAATTAAAGACAGCAATGAATAAACTGTTTTTTATTTAAACTTTTAAAAGGCACAAATGTCTCAATTTCATTGCAGTGCTTACAATTCTCTGCATGCATAAAAGTTATTTAAGCTGACAGAGACAAGGTTTTTAATTTTATTTATGAACAGAATCATGTGCCAAGTGCGGATCGGAACCATGTAGCTTTCTGCAGGAATGAGACCTGCCGCTATCTAATCCTGATCAACAAAATAAAGCTTCACTTAAAACCTGGGCTCTCATTTATGAAACATTCATAGAAACGGTCCTATATTCTATCTTGCGGCCAAATTCAGAATGTGTGTACGAACAGTCAAAAACTCACCTCACCTTCCTCCACTTATCCGGGTCTGGGCCACAGGGGAAGCATCCTAAGTAGGGCCTTGCAGGCAATTCTCTCCCCGGCCACATCTGCCAGCTCCTCAGCTGGGACACCCAGGCGTTCCCTGGCCAACTTAGAGATGTGTTTTCTCCAGCTAGTCCTGGGTTGACCTGGGGGCCTCCTGCCTGCAGGACATGCCCAAAACACCTCCAGACGGAGGCACCCAGGAGGCGTCCTGACCAGATGCCCGAACCACCTCAACTGGGTCCTTTTGATGTGGAGGAGCAGTGGCTCCACTCCGAGTCCCTCCCGCATGTCCGAATCAAAACTTGATTAATGAAATATGCGGTGGCCTCTTGTACGCATGTTCCTCCATAATCTTCTGATGATAAATCCCACCTGTGCGTACCCAGGTGCTCGTATCAGTTCTCAGTCAGTTACATACAGAAACGCTCTCAATTAACAATTTTTGGTCACACTACGTCCTCAGCACGTGAGGGAATTCAGAGTCTTTTCTTGGAAAAAATAAGAAAAATTTTATTTACAGCGAGATCGAAACACTGGCTGTTGAAGCGCAAAATAACCAAACAAATTGCAGAGGTTATAAACGGGACAGGACAGAGTAGAGGTTCCCATCAGAAAAATAAATAAATAAATAAACGGATTTGATAGATCAGAGTAATGGGTTCTCATTTAAATGTTATATTTAAGGAGTCTGTTTGGAGTTAGCTTTATTTGGAAATGTTGTCTAAGAGTTCAGCCTCAGCCTCTTCAATCAATCAACTTTTATTTATATAGCACTTTATCCTACAATACATGCAACTCAACATGCTTAACATATTAAAAAAGCCCCGCATACCCACATTCCCTCCCATCCCCAGAATTTTAAAAACAGTCTGACAATAAAAACCCCTTCATAACACTCATCCTCCGGCACAAGATAAAGCTGAAAACGGCTCGCGCTGCGTCGGGTTACTGCCTGCTCTCCGCTCTGGTCGAGGTTTCTCTCTCTCTCTCTCTGTATATATTAATTCATGCACTTAAATATTAATGTTCTGATTCCATAATAGTTTGTTCTGTAATAGTTCCTTTACTATTGTGATCAAAAACATTTAATTATGAGGCTGCTCTGTAAATAGTTTTCAAATAAACAATACACATAGCAACTTCTGATCAATCCATATCAATTTCAGACTTAAAATAATGTATTGATGTAAACCAAACTCATTTCAGGTTAAACCACACCTAGGGCTGCTCGATTATGGCAAAAATAATAATCACGATTATGGTGACTGAAATTGAGATCACGATTATTTAGGACGATTTTTCAATTTATGTTGATTTTATTTGTTTTTATTCAGTCATAAAACTGCTCAGGGCACAATCAGGACGAAAATAAGAAACAAGATGATCACTAAAATAACTCCTGATTCCCAGTATAAAAAGACCAATATACTTATAGCTCATAGTTTATGACCCAAGGGCTATGACCTTGGTTTAACTCATTTAAGTCTAACCAGTACAGACCCAAATACCAATATCTTGCAAATACTGACAGCAAGAATTATACTGTGGCATTCATAACAAATACATGCAAATAAATTGATGTTCACAAAAAATTGCATAATACGTATTTAGTCGTGTCAAGGTGCTGTAGGAGAGTGCACTAGCACCGTATCCTCAGAGAGATTAGTTATTATTTATCAGCGTGAGGAACTTATTTCTACCTTATTTATAAACTATTTATTTACAAGTCCATCAGTTAATGTAATAATTGTCCCAACCACAGCTGCACCCCCCACCCCCAACCCGGTCTCACAGCAATCGGGGCAAGCTGCACGTGTGTTTAGCGCGCCGCACGCGCACATTTAGCCGTTTTTAGTGGCTCAGGAGTCCGCAGGTGCGGTGTGTGTGTCACTCACTCTGGTTGCTCCAACAAGGAGCCGGCTCCGAGAGCTGTTTTTTTAGCGACCGACATCGCTACATCATTCCCTTTCCTAATGTCCTGAAGAACGGTCCGGAGAGCAGGCGGTGTTTAGCTAACCTGCAGGAAACGTCGACGATAGTTATCCAGAAAGTAGCTAAGGGTTACCAGAGATGTTTCTGAGGTGTTCACTAGATACTTTTAAGTTAAAAAGTCAAGAAGGGGGTCTGAAAAGCTGCTAGAAATAGCGTCAAAGTCGCTAAATTGGCAACACTGTGGGAGGAGCGCTTCATTTGCAACTCGGGGCAGCGCAGGCGGGAGGAGCAAATAATCGGCTTGTTTTGTTTTTTATAATCGTTCAAAACTCAGATCGTAATCGTGATTAAAATTCGATTAATTGAGCAGCCCTAACCACACCCACATCGGGTTTGGCCACGCCCACTCCGAGTGTGAGTATAAAATTGATTCAGACTGTAAAAAATTTGGGCAACTCTTTTAACAGTTCAGAAGAGGGCTTATAATGTGTTACTCCTGCATTATTAGGAAACAAAAAGCACAAATCCACAGAGCAGCTGCTGCTCTGTGTGTGTGCGCACATGCATTCACAAAATTGAGTACTAACACCCAGAACACACTAGATACGAAGTGGATCGCTCACGAAAATCGTGCACTGTCCACTCCTCTTCTGTTCACATCAGGCAAAAATTTTCAATGAGCGCTTCAGCTCATGCCTACTGTTTTCCAAACCACCCCACCCGCATGCCCTTGCTGTGTGTGTGTGTGTGTGTGTAACCAGTTTGCCCTGCTTGTTGATATCAGAAACTGCGCTGATCCTGCAGTTGTTTTGGAGGCCAGTTCCTTTCTAAATGGTTAAGTAGATAACTAGTGTTTGTGGTAGTATACAATGCTGTTGTATATTTACCTTTGAATTAAATGTATTTGTTTGTAATCACATTTATTAAATCCATCTTTTGCTATAAAAACTGCATTTAAAATGATGGGAAAGCTATGTTTCTCCACTATGTGTGTGTTTGTTCATTTTCATCTCTCTAGTCTGTTTAGATACACAAAAATGATCACATTTATCAATCGCAGTGTTTTTTTAGGTTTCTTTTATTTTGTTAAATTTACCTGCCTGCTTCTTCTGTTTTGGTTTAACTTCCTGCCATGGCTCATGAAAACATAGAGCTCACACCTAAACGATCGCTGCACGGCGCAAGACTTCGTGGCACTTCACGGCTGATGTGACCGAGAGCGTAGGTTACCAAGAGCGCAAGATCGATTAGAAGAGCTTGTTATTCCACGGCGCTTTGTCGCGCTTCCGCGACTGGTGTGTTCCAGGCGTGACTGTCCAACTCTCTGAAAGCGCTGGCATATGCCCCCACAATAGCCTCTCTTAAGGCGTAATGCTCTCCGGGTATGCAACGTACTCCTCAGCCCCCCAGGAAGATCCCTCGGCGCAGTATCCCCTTTATGTCAAAGGGTTAACAGGAACTCCCTGCTTTTGGTGAGATTCCCAGTAAATGCCGGCATCTTCAACTTTGCAGGGAGCTTGCCAGAAAGTACGGTGGCTATGCAGAGCAACAGTAGCAACAGGAGTGCTACCTACCTCATCTTCTAAACAACTGTGTCTTAGAGAAGACTCACGACATAGCACACCGTGGTTGCCTATAAATCCCATACTTGTAAAAATGATAATAACATTTAACTGAAACAATGTTTAAAACAGAGAAAGAAAGAATAAAAAATTTGACCTTTAAAACATTTAATACTTATTTAAAACGAGAACACCTGCGAAGCCCCTGTCGGCCCAGTGCAACGCCACCCTGGTTATCTCAGAAAAATTTCAGATGAGCATGCTCAAGTATTTTTCAAAGAAATTAAAGACAACACAGGAAGAGAAGTCTGGTCAGGTAAAAGAACCAATGCTACATCATTCAAGATATGTTGTCAGATAGGCTAACCATTCCTATATTGTGTCCCTTTGTTGACTAGCAACATGGCAGGAAAAATTTCTATGGGAAACACTGAGTTGTATGTTCAAAATACTGGAAGCAATTTGGAGGAACTTCATCTCAGTATTACACAATGCTCTTGACTAAAACAACTACATATAACTTTTTACGTTTGTTTACAATCTCTCAAAGAAAAAGAATTCTCACTTGTCTCGAAGAAGAACTCCTTCAATACAGGCACCAAACAGAACCACGCTGGAGATGTCTGAGGGAAGCTCAGAGGAACAAGTTACATTTTCACACAAAGCTTCATGCAGAATACTTAGATGTTGCTTAAGATCTATGTTATATATTTGGTTTTTCCCACTCCTGGCAGCCAATTAAATCTGTAAGTTTGAAGTGATTCTGGAAAACATTAGTAAGAAAATAAGAACTCTAAATTGAACATGTGACACTATTGTTACGCTGACCAGAGGTGCAGCTGCCCCTGTTTATTTTCTCATCCTATCCCTGCATGTTGACTCCGCTGCGCATTGCCAGTGCATGTGCGTGCGCTCTGGTGCACACCTCGCCAGGTGAGCGGAATGAAAGCAATCAAGAGCTTGCGTTCAGGGGAGATGAAACACAGTCCAAAATCTCTGCAGCAATCTTTTGCCCGGTGCACAGCAGACTGTGAGGAATGCAAATTGAACACAAATGGTTCCACTGTGAGGAGGAGGACTATGATCGTGATGGACTATCGGTAGGCTCTTGGGCTCACGTCTTTACATGGACTCTTCATCTGTTTGGGTGTGAATGGAATTTATTGGGAGGAGGTCTGTTAATGTCATGGGTGATGTCAGAAATTACTACATTTGTTTAGAGTGTGTCACCAGAATATTATGATTGTGTCAGAAGTAGTGTGGGTTTATGTAATTAATACTAAATACATATATATATATATATATATATATTTATATATATATATATATATATATATATATATACACACACACATATATATATATATATATATATATATATATATATATATATATATATATATATATATATATATATATATATGTATAGACTAATTTTACCAGACAAATAATTAAATACATATACTTTTACCAATATACCAACCACAAGTTCTGAGTTACTATTTTAATAATTTTTTACACAATAATTATATATACATATATATAATATTATTGTGTAAAAAATAATTAAAATAGTAACTCAGAACTTGTGGTTGGTATGTTGGTAAAAATATATGTATTTAATTATTTGTCTGGTAAAATCAGTCTATGGTTGATCAATGATTCATTGTGCAATACATTTTTCTGTTATTTAAAGGTTTTTCACCTGATTGATTGCTGAACCCAAACCAGTCTTAGTACTGGTCAAAGTAAAACCTTCTGAGTGAAAACCAAAGTCTGGCCTTTTCAAGTGTAAGCACCTCACTGTGAAGAAAACGCTTGACAACTATTGTTTACATTAGTGTATAATGAGCATTCTAAGTGGCCTGCTCTTTGTATCTGAGCTCTGTGCAAAGTGTCAGGATTAGTGCAGCCACGATTAGTCGACGCATCATGATGACGTTGACAGTCAACAGCAAATGTAATAGTAGACGCGTTTGTTTATTCTATGAGCATTTTTTAAATCTCGCCTGCTGCAGCAACTTCTGCTGCTTTCTGCTTTAGGCAGAAGTAGTAGTAGTCACCATCCAGATCAGCCTTTGAATCAGAGTCACCGGAGAAAGAAGACACTATTGTGTGCCGGCAATGTAGCTCAAATCTTTGTGATCATTTTACAAAGACAAAGGAGAAGCACGTAGAGTGCAAGATCTGCAAAGTGAAATTTTCACGGGAGCTCTTCGACGTCATGGCGGAGAACCCTGAAAGCTAATTACCTCTTGTTAGCTGCTAACATCAACAGAGAGCTACTCGCATTCATAGGTGTAGCAACAACAGTAGTAATGGCGATTTTATTACCATTAGAACATGTATTTGCTCTAATGTTACCAACCCCAATGATTGATTTTATCCCGTTACGTTACAGTGTTAAAAAAAAAGCGTTCCTCCTCTTCAATGGGCGAGTTTGTTACAAAGCAAAACACGTGCACACCGCAGCAAGCTAACGTGCTGATCAAGGCCTTTTTGAACATGTTGGTCAGGGACATGAGACCCCTGTCATTGGTTGGCGATCAAGGTTTCAAAAAGATGATCAAGCAGTTTAATCCAGAATACCATGACAACTACCAACCAGGCCGATCCCACTTCGCCACAATGATGGAGAAGAAATATGAAACAACCTTTGAGAAGGTATGTGTGTGTGTGTCTCTTTCTCTTTGTGTATCTCTCGGGGCAATAATAAAATAAATAATATTAGAATTTTAACACATTTTATGATAAAATAAAAAGTTTCCGGACTTTCCTGACTGTGAACAGAAGCCTTGTGTAGGAAAAAAAGATTATTTCAGCTGGATGCATTTGTGAGTGCAAGTCGTTTTTATGTACAATTTATTTTTGGTTTGAATTGCCTACCTCCATTTGACTGTGTAGCATTTGTATTAACAGGTTACAAAATTAATTAAAACTTGATTGATAAGCTATCATCTTGTCTTTATTGTAGCTGATCAAACTTCAAACTAGAAGCTACTGAAGGGTATATTAGAGCATCCTGGTGCAAAAGGCTATACTTTTATGCATGACATGATTAGTCAACTAATCGTCAATAAAACTGGCAATTTGTTGACTATTCAAATAGTCGTTCGTGGCAGTACTAGTAAGGATACAGATGAATGAAGTAGTAGCAATAGCTAGAATGGTCCCAATGGGTATGGACTTCTGTGCATCTCTCAAGTCACCCGAGCGGTTTGAACCAGCCATGATACCTGACAGATATTAGAAGAAAACAACCACACATTTTTAATCAAACTATTTCACAGTTATGAAACATAATATTGTGCATGAGTCACCTTAGTTAACGTCTCACCTGTGACAGATGGGAAGTAGATGCCAACCAACAACGTGAAGAAGGTGGTGATGTCATTGACAACATATGGGAGGTAAATGTCCTTGGCAGGGTCACTTCCCTCAAAAGATGTCACATTATTTTTTTCAACCAGCATACCATGAGGACCATACTCTGGCCACATGTTTTCTACAAGAAAAAAAGTCAAAAGTAGCACCTATTAACACATTGTAAACAGGTTGGGTGAACACTATGTTACTCATGCAACAGAGCACTTCATTCAGAGGGACAAGTTGGGTTATAAAAGCTACCGTCATTACAGATTTCTGAGACCAAATCAGTTGGTGGGTGTCCATGTGCATCTAACTCGTGTTGACAGTCTGTCCACCTTTAAAAAGCAGCTAAAGACCCTTTTATTTAATGTAACTTTTACCTAAATCTTTTGTTTTTTCCATTTTTAAAATTACTATCATGGGCTACATGGTGGCGCAGTTGTTAGCACTGTTGCCTCGCAACACGAAGGTTGCAGGTTTGAAACTCGGCTGCGGCCTTTCTGCGTGGAGTTGCGTGTTCTCCCCATGCATGCGTGGGTTTCCTCCGGGTACTCCGGTTTCCCCCACAGATCACAACATGCCCTATAGCTTATAAATTGTAAGTCGCTTTGGATAAAAGCGTTTGCCAACTAAATAAACATAAACAAACATTATCTGTCTGTTGTTTTATGATTATCTTTGTAGTTTGATTCATCATCAATTTATAATTTTATGATTTACATTTTATTTACAACTCATACATCTTTTGTGTTTTCTAATTTTAATTATCTTTCATATTTATTTTATTATATTTTACTTTGTTTTGTTTTTAAGATCATGCTATGGCTATGATTTGGGTCTCTTTTGTTCTTTGTGAAGCATTCTGTGATTTTTCTTTCTGTGATAAGTACTTTATAAATAAACCTTACTTCAAGATAGGAGCCTTTATACTAATTTACATGCGCATGAGAAAACTGACCTCCCAAATAAAATCTGTTGCACTCCGGTACAATAGGTGGTGACATGCACCCTTTCATGTGGCATTGGGTCTTGGGTCTCCTCCCAGTTGGACATAACCAGAAAACCTCACCAGGGAGGCTTCCTGACCAGATGCCCAAGCCACCTCAACTGGCTCCTCTTTGCGTGGAGTAGCAGCGGCAGGTCTACTCCCCTCCTGGATGACTGAGCTGCTCACCCTATCTCTAACCCCGGCTTTCCACGGGAGCCGTCAGCAGCACGTTACTGCAGCAGCACGTCATAGCTGCTGATAGGAACTGCTGTGGTCAACAGAACCTTTTCCACTGGAGCCGTCAGAAGCCGTCAGCAGCGCGAGTCGGCGGCGTCTCAGGAGCAGCATGTCGCGGCCCTTACGCGCCGGTTCTATTTTCTACGCGCGACGCCTCTGAAACGGGTCAAGTTCGACATTTTTGGGGAAGGAAAGACAGGAAATCAGACGCGGAAATGGAGAGAAGCTCCCGAGATTTTCAGAATAAAGAACGTACTGCCTTCTGGTTGCTTTACTTTAAAAAAAGTTACTAAATGTGCGGCCCCGTGAGACGTTATCACCTAGCTAGCGGTCTCCTTTGTTTTTCAGGTCCGTATTGGCGATTATAAAACAAACAGAACATAAAACACAAACCATGTTGTTAATTTCTCCTGCTTGTTGTTGTGTTTACTGACGAAGTCACTCGTGTGACTTCGTGCTCTGTCAGTGACAGCTGCTCCCCTGCTGCTTAGCGTCTCGTGGGAAGGGCCAAGCAGCAGCTTACACGAGCAAGACGTGCTGCTGCAGTAACGTGCTGCTGACGGCTCCCGTGGAAACCCGGGGTAAGGGAGAGCACAGTCACCCTGTGGAGAAAACTAATTTCAGCCGCTTGTATCCGCAATCTTGTTCTTTCAGTCACCTCCAAAACTTGTTAACATAGAAGAGGGTAGGAATGGGGATTGACTGGTAAATCAAGAGCTTTGCCTTTCAGCTCAGCATTCTCTTCCCCTCAACAGACTGGTACAATGCAGACAGTACTGTAGATGCAGCACCAATCCGCTTATAAATCTCTCACTCAATTTTTCCCTCACTCATGCACAAGACCCCAAGATATTTAAACTCCTCCACTTGAGGCAGGACATCGTCCTTTACCTGGAGAAGGCATTCTACCCTTTTCCAATTCAAGACCATGATCTTGGATTTAGAGGAGCTGACTCTCAGTCCAGCCTCTTCATACACAGCTGAAAAACCGCTCCAGCAAAAGCTGGAGATCACTGTCCGATGAAGCCAACAGGGCCACATCATCTGCAAAAAGCAGAGACCTGATCCTTAGGCCACCAAAACGGAATCCCTCCACACTTTGGTTGTAGAAATCCTGTCTTTAGAAATTATGAACAGAATGGGTGATAAAGAGCAGCCTTGGTTGAGTCCAACTCTCACCGGAAACGAGCTTGACTTACTGTTGGCAATGCCGACCAAGCTTTAACACCGGTTATATAGAGACCTAACAGCCCTTATCAAAGGGTGTGGTACTCCATACTCTCACGGTACCCCCCATAGGACTCCCACGCGCTTGAACGCCTTCTCCAAATCTACAAAACACATGAAGATTGGTTGGGCAAACTCCCACGCACCCGCCAAAATCCCCCTAAGGGTATAGAGCTGGTCCAGTGTTCCACGGCCAGGACGAAAACCACATTGTTCCTCCTGAATCAAAGGTTTGACAATCCGATGAACCATCCTCTCCAGAAACCCTGAATAGACCTTACCAGGAAGGCTCAGGAGTGTGATCCCCCTTGCAGTTGGAACACAATCTGTGGTCCCCTTTTAAAAATCACCCCAGTCTGCCAACCCAGTGGAACTGTCCCAGATGTCCATGCAATACTGCAAAGCCGCGTAAAATAACAGAGCCCACAACATCCAGAGCCTTAAAGAACTCCGGGCGGATCTCATCCACCCCTGAAGCCTTGCCACCAAGGAGTTTTTTGACAACCTCAATTACCACGGCCCCAGAGATTGAAGGGTCCAACTTACAGTCTCCAGACTCTACTTCCTCGCTGGAAGACGTGCCAGTGGGATTGAGGAGATCTGCGAATATCCACAATGTCCAGAGTAGAGGTAAGCAGCACACCCTCCCCACTATAAACAGTGTTGGTAGCGCACTGCTTTCCCCTCCTGAGACGCCTGATGGTGGACCAAAATCTCCTCTAAGCCATACAGAAGTTTTGCTCTATGTTCTTCCTGAACTCCTCCGACACCCAGATTTTTGCCTCTGTGACCCCTCAAGCTGCATTACGCTTGGACTGCCGGCACATATCAGCTGCCTCTGGAGTCTCACAGGCCCAAAAAGACCCGATAGGACTTTTTCTTCAGCTTGACAGCATCCCAAACCGTGGGTGTCCATCAGTGGGTTTGGGGGTCGACAGGCACCGACAACCCGGTGGCCACAGCTCCGGTCAGCCGCCACAACAATGGAACATTGCTCACATAAGACTCAATGTTTGAAATTCTGTCAGAGGTGGGAATTGAAGCTCCGTCTGACAGGAGATTCTGCCAGTTGTTGCCAGCAGACCACCAAGGTTGCTGCCTTCGACCACCTGACACACAATGTACCCGACCCCTTTGGCTCCTGCCACGAGCTGTGAGCTCATGGAGAGAGGAACCCATGTCTCCTCTTCAGGCTGTGCCCAACCAGGTTCCATGGTTAAAAGCCCAGCCACCAGGCGCTTGCCAACGTCCCCCAACACCAGGTCTGGCTCCAAAAGTGAGCCCCGGTGACCCGCATCCGGATGAGAGAACACAGTTTCCATTTATTTTTTTTCCTCATAAGAGGTCTATTATTGTTGAGGATGCTGAGAAATGGAATTGATAAACACTTCTGAAATCTCTTTCATTAAAAATAAAACAGAAATGGCAAAAGCTACCAAAAACAAGTTGAAAGAAGAAGCATGTTGCTCCCACCTGAAATGGCTCCACTGATGAGTCCAGGGATGCCTTGTATCTCAGTCACATTGTTGCTTGCAAAATAGTCATTGCAGGTGGCATTGAGATCAGGACCATCACAAAACAGGCTCCACAGCTTGGTAGTGACAGTCAGATTATCTTTAACTTCAGTCTTCATACATAAATCAAAGGCATGGTTCTGCAGAGTGCGATTCCCCAACAAGCAAACACTGTGCAGACCAAACACATCACAGAAACAACTAAAAACATGTCAGCAAATAGAGCACAAATGGTGACAAAATTTCTCTGAAGCTATACACACATAATAATGTTCATGACAACATTAGAGGTGACTATAAATTAGACTCACGGAAAGTCTGGTGGCTCAAAGATGGTCTTGATGACTCCAGCATATATGGCAAGGATGGAGAGAATTACACAAGCCAGGAAGACAAGTGCTAGCTTGTTCACGTATTTGACTCCAACAAAGACAACTATTGCCATGAGTACCAGGCAACATGTGCCGTAGACACGCATGTTATTCAGCAGGGCATCAACCTCATCCTCCTTGTGCTCTGCCACAAAGATAGCTGCTTTAGGCACAATGTAGGTCTGTGTGTGCAGCGGGGAGAAAAAATACATCCAGGAAGCTCAGTGACACAACAATATTACAAATTACTACATTTTTGAGATAGCATTACATGAACTCAATGTTTTTCCACTACATGAACCAAAAAGGCTGTGAGAGAGCCACAGGTTGTTGTTTTAGTATGTCAGTTTTCTAAATAAAATCTGTATTAAGTCTGGAATAAAACAGGAACTAGTGTGGTTTTAGGTAAAGAAATAGAAGTAACACAAGTGTAGAGAATATTTTCTCACCAGTAGAATCTCAATAGTACCCAGGATGTACATAGAGCCAGCAAAAGTTGTCCCAAGATAGAAACAGAGACCTACTGCTCCACCAAACTCTGGACCCAGAGATCTGGAGATCATGTAGTACGAGCCTCCAGCTAGACAGCAGAAATACATCATGTAAATGAAAAAGAGAATGGATATTGTACAACAAAAACATGTAAAACTTAAAAGAAATAAAATGTCAATGAATGTAAATAAATTCAGAAGCCAATTAAATACTAATTACTACTATCACTACTGCTATTGTTATGCTCAAGTTGAAAAGAAACATATTTCAGATAAATTTTTCAGATAAACATAAAATAAGATAAAGCATCCTACCTGGTACAACACCATTAGTTGCAATTGCACTCATGGATATAGCTGTCAGCATGGTCTGAAGGAGAAAAAAAAAAGCTTTTCGTTAAAGAGTGAGTGTTACAGCGGCTTGGTTTTTTTTTTTTGTTTGTTTCTTTTCCTTCTCTGTTTTCATAATGTGCTGAGAGGAGCTATTCTGCAGCACCTGTCTTCTCGTGCCCTACCTGGCTCTGCCCTGAAGTGCCCAGCTAAAAGAAATTATAATCAGCAGCTGAAGGAAAATTCATGGCTTCAAAGAATCCTGGAACTTTTCCTCGGCAAGAAGCAGACCAGAGATGTCTGTCTGGCCTGCTTTCTCCTCTGCATGTATTTTACATCCATGCAGCCGATACGTGTTTTGTGTCATAGTGTTTCCATAAAATGTGTGTTTTAGAAACGTTTGTCTCAAGGAGGGGTTCCCGTATTAGAAATGCAAGAGAGGTCCTGCCTAAAGGCCTTAGTGTTTGCATGGGAGTCCCTGATTTGAGTAAAATGAAGCTTAGTGTTTGTTCTCTGTTTGGACACGGTGGTGTCACTAACAAGAAATTGAGTGTGTTTGTAACTATCTGATCTTTTTACAGCCAATTGAGCTCCTTGTGTTAAATTAGTTTGTTATATTTGAGTAAAAGCCTGACATCAGGAAGTTTTTTGTTAAATAAACAATTTTTATACTGATTTTGCCTGCGTTACGCGTCCTCCATGTTACCCTAGATTCCCTTGACGCCTGGGTTGTAACAGCAAGTAAGGCCTAAATCATATATTTTGTTGCTGATAACCTGTATACAGTGATGTCTCTGCAATAGAGTCCAGCAGGGCCGTCCCCACCAGATGGCGCTGTGGAGCTCTATGCTTAAAATAATCATTGGAACAGAATGGTTTGTTATAGAGCAATATTGTATAAAAACCCATTCTGGCACCAAGATGATTTTCTTAAAAAAATGTGTGTGTTTATGTAAGTATTTGTCAGGGTATTGACAAGCCCTGCAGATTAAATCCTTTTCAAAAAGAAGAGACCATTGTTGTGCCAGCCCGTCAGCATCCATTTTCAATGAGGAAGATCTGAAATCACAGTGCATATGCTGAACTCATTGTCAGAGGTAAGCCGTAGGGCCCACAGACTCAGGCCCCAAGCTCATATCATCCAATCAATAGATGAGGAAAGCACATGTGAGCTAATGTTTCAGTTCGGTGGGACAGCAGCAACCATGTTGGTTATGCTGGTTAACTAACAACAACAAGAAGCAACAGATATGTGCTCCACCTAACTTATCATGCCAGAGACATCACTGCCTGTATAAATGAGCGTCTAATAGTGCTGTTGATATGTGTAGTCATTATTTTGTAATTTTAGTGCATCTTATTTAAAATGCACTACGTGGCTGCACTGAACTGGATTCTAGCCGAGTCTCTGCCGTAACTCCAGCTGGCTCAGCCACTCACGAGCCGATATCAAACAATCAGAGCCACTCGCCTTCTTTAAAATAACGTCCTCGTCTGTTTCTTCTAGTGGTCAAGGTGGAGAGAAAACTATTCAATCTGCCACAGTTTCTATGTTTGTTCGTTCTACTAAGTGGTGAGTCTGCTTTGTGTGTATGCTTGTGTGCATCCACAGATGTTAACGACTCCTTTTTTTTGACTGAGAAACTCCGAGAGCCCTGTGGTGGGGTGTTGCGGGAGTGCTGTCAATCACTGCCTCAGTGCCACTCTTCCAGTCTGCCAGGCAATTCCTCCTTTAGGGGCATTTTTCTAACAGGAAGTGTGAGTGAAGTTAGACTCCACCCAGGGTATGACTTACTCTTTAAAACTCCCTTAAGAGAGCTGGGGATTGGATTATTTTCAGGTTGAGTTGATGCTCAAAATAAATTTTAAAAATGGTAAAATGTGGAACTCTTAAGTGAAGTTGTGCAAATTATGAACCATTCAGCGGTGTGCAATTGGAGTAATGGAATCATGACTGAAGAAACACTGCAGTATGTAGAGCAGCTCATTTTAAAACACATGAAATATCAAGGAAATTACTGCATAACTTTGGAAATGTCTAACAAAGTAATTTGTCCACAGCAATGTCAGAGGTCACCAGACAGTGTGCCCATGGACATAGTTGTAGGGGGACATGTCCCCCCACTTTTTTCTAAATACATTTTTGTCCCCTGCACTTTTTACCATCCAAAAACAATATAACGCTATATTAAATGGGCACTGGTTGAGCACTAGAACCAAGCAAAAACAACCGCTTGTGTTAAAGACTGTTTCCCATTAGAACCGTCCATAAGCTCATCAGCAATCGAATATTAAAAGCTCAATAATAATGATCATGAATATTTGTTTTTTCCTTTAGTCTCTGTTTGTGGTCATAGGTTTTATGGATAGGATTTCTAGGCGCAGCCAAGGTGTTGAGGGGATCCGTTTGGTGACCTGAGGATCTCTGCCCCCGCGACCCAACTCCGGATAAGCCGAAGAAAATGGATGGATGGACATTTTTATGGAATATTACATTTTATTGAATACCTTTATATTCTATTGACATTTTATTAAAAGTAACCACCTACAAATCATTACAACTGCGTGGGTGTAACCATAACATACCAGCCCTGGTACTGGTAGGTCCAGTTCTTTGTTAACTCTGCGTTGTTTTAAAAAGGGTCTTGAGACAAAGTTTTGCCGACACCAGTATTTAATTTGTTAAACACAAGAATGCTGGTCAGAAGCTTAGCTTTTGGTCGAGTCATACAGCACACTCCTTTGGAATAAAAATACTCAATTATTAAATAACTTTAGGAGTTTTCCTCACACACAGAGTGCTGACAGAACTCAATCTACCTCGAACGTCTCCATCTTAAAACTGACGAACATCAGACGCAGCTGGCTACATAAGCACCTAAAACAGAGACTTTCAGAACCAATTCCCCACTTAAGGCAGAGCAGTTTTCAACAATTTTACTGCTGGCAAGTGGAATGACACTATTTACTCTGTTACACTCCCCCCTGCCAAATTCCACTTGCCCATGAAATCCAAAAGAAAAGAGAGAAGGAATATAATAATAAGAAGGACATTTGCATATTCTAAATGAGAAGTAATAAACGCCTGTAAAACTGATTCCACATGACGTCACTTTAGTGGGTCCTGGAGAATGAGGGGAAGTTCGCCCAATCGATCTACATGCGTTTTGTGGATTTGGAGAAGGCGCTCGACTGCGTCCCTCGGTGGACACTGTTGGGGTACTCCGGGAGTATGGGGTACCAGGCCCTCTTATACGGGCTGTTAGATCCCTGTATGACCGATGTCAGAGCTTGGTCCGCATTGCTGGTAGTAAGTCGGGCTCATTTCCAGAAAGATTTGAACTCCGCCAAGGATGCCCTTTGTAACCAATTCTGCTCATAACTTTTATGGATGGGAATCCTAGGCGCAGCCAAGATGTTGAGGGAATCTATTTTGGTGACCTGAGGATTGGGTCCCTGCATTTTGCAGATGATGTGGGCCTTTTTGCTTCATCAGACTGTGATCTCCGGCTTTTACTGGAGCAGTTGGAAGCCAAGTGTGAAGAAGCTGGGATGAGAATGAGCTCCTCTAAATACGAGGCCATGGTCTTGAGTCGGAAACAGGTAGAATGCCTTCTCTGGGTCAGGGATGAGGTCCTGCCCCAAGTAGAGAAGTTTAAAAGTATGTCTGGGTCTTGTTCACTAGTGAGGGACAACTGGAGTGCGAGATCAATAGGCAGATAGGTGTTGCGTCTGCAGTGATGTGGACATTGTACTGGTCTGTCATGGTGAAAAGAGAGTTGAGCCAGAAGGCAAAGGCTTGGAGTAGATCCACGGCTCCTCCACATCAAGAGGAGGCAGTTGAGGTAGCTCGAGCATCTGGTCAGGATGCCTCGTGGATGCCTCCATGGTGAGGTTTTCTGGGTACGTCCAACAGGGATGAGACCTAAAGGGAGACCCAGGACATGCTGGAGGGACTCTCGCCTGAGCAGGGAACGCCTTAGGATTCGCCCGGAGGAGCTGGACCAAGTGGCTGGGGAGAAGAAAGTCGGAGCCTCTCAACTTAGGCTGCTCCTGTGACCCGACATCGAATAAGCGAACGCAAATGGATAGATGGATGGATAATTTGATAGGCATTTAATTATTTGTGATTTTGTTTTCATTTTTGTAACCAATATATTATTGACTGTTTTCTATGTTTCAAGAATCAGCTTCATTGGACAGCTTGGTCTGGGCAAACCCAATCAAATTAAGTTGAATGCAGTACATTTTATAATGGTCATGAACTTATTTTTGTTACAATCACTCTACTACATTTTGACCACATTTTCACAACAGATATAAATTAAGGGATTATACAATTATTTGATTCATCAATCAAATAATCAACTGTGACAGATGATTCAATTATTAAATAATCCATAGCTGCAACTCTTTAAAAAGAGCTTGTGCTAAACTTCAACCATCAGTATTTACTCTGTGTTAAAAGCACTCTGATTTCAGTAATGTGTTGCTGGGTTTAAGGAGCTCTCAGTATAATGGAGTTCCAGTATATGACCTATGAACAGCTCACTGATGCAGAGCTATCAGTGCTAAGTCAAAATTGGTCAATGTAATTTCATTCAGCAATAATCCATCTGACTAAGCTTGGCTCTTCTGTAACACCAAGAATACAAGAAGAGTTAACCCCGATGATGCACTCTGGGTAGATTTCATTAAAAAAACGGACATCATCACATATTTAGTCACAAAGCTTTTGGAAATTAACCCCATAGGTAGCTTTAAAATGTTATAGTTTGAAAATATACGTTTTTTTTTTGGTACGAAACCTTTCAGAGTCAGTGTTTCTCTTGGTGATAATAAGAGAAAATTATTACATTATGTAAACAGAGAATTTCAATAAGTCAAGAAGTGTGTCACCGCATAAATCACGACCAATCCATTGTCTGCTGAAGGACTGCTAAATATAGTCACTGCGTGGGAGAGAATGCCACTGTTACTGACATTTTGCAGATGGCCGGATAAGACTTCAAGATGGACACAATAAAAAGTAGTGTATAAATGATAAATAAAAAGTCACTATATTTTCAATACAAGTGCATTCACTGAGTTCACTCACTTCAAAATCGTGTACAATATTGGACCATAAAACAAATTATTTTTATGTCAAGAATTAGACCAGACTTATTATAATGACAAAGTACTCACACATGAGCAGCACATGCCAACGATTACCAATGACTGCAGGATGCCAGCAGTGCCGACAATCCAGGTAAGGCGCAAAAACAGGATGACCCCCAGTATGTTCTGAAGGCAAGGGAGGTAGACACCCATGAAGGTCCCCATCTGAGGGCTCTGTAGAATGACACAGCAAGGAGAAGACAAAGATGATAAAGAACAAATGAAACCCGTTATGCTGATTTAAAGCACCAGATCAAATCCCAATGATGACCTTTAGTAGAAAAATGCATTTATTCCAAAAATATCATCCAAAAAATCGCAGCAGCTTAAACTTCAAATTACATGGAAGGGAAGGCGTGATGGAGGAATTATGTGCCTGTTAGTGCAGGGCAATGAATCGAAAACGTATTATTTTCAAAATTGCTTCCTCTGATATAATTTTTCACATGTCAATGAATCTGTTAATAAAAAACGATGGAAAGATGTATGTGAGTTGGTGACATTCACATCTCTTTCAGAAGCTATATCACTTCCGGTTGGTAACAAGATGGCGCCTGTGCTTGGCTTAGCCGCAGTCACCGGCCACTTTTTCAAACTTTTAAAACTTTTCTCCACTAACCTCCTCTTTTCCACCTTGCTCCTGTCTGCGATAATATAGTGTCCCTGATACCATCTCCTTTGATCGCCAGGCTCTTTTGTCCTTCCGTTCGTTCATGATCGCCCAAGATGCACCAAGGACGCACCTCCCTGTTTGTTTATCTGAGTGGTGCACCGGCCCGGAGCCAAATGACGATTCCAATCATGGCGCTTCCAACGATGTTTATCCGGTCCCGGGAAAACGTCGGAGGAAAAGAGGTAAACGAGCAGGAATCCAGGTGAGAATAAGACTTCTCTTAAAGCGTGGTTTATCTATTAAACATTGGCATGATCTTCTAGCTTCTTGTCCTTTGTTTGGTGACTTGAGTGCCACTTCCGCATTCCCGCCAGGCTGCGTTGTGGCGCGGTTTCTCCGTCCAAGTTTTTTAATGTCGGTTTATCTTCATTCTTCAGTGGCTTCTCCTCCTGTTCCCTCCATAAGTGGTTTTTATAAACACTGTGGATCTAACCCTGCTAATTTATGTCCACTAACTCCAGCTGTTTCTGTAGTTTCTGATTCCTCCACCTCACTCAGCATGGCTCTATTAAATACCCGCTCCGTTAACAACAAGTCCTTCCTGCTCAATGACTTAATTCTCTAAAAACGTGGATTTTCTGTTTCTGACTGAAGTTTGGCAGCAAACATCTGATTATTCTGGTCTGATTGAACTATGCCTGAGTGGTTATTCTTTTCTTAGCCAGCCCCGGGGTTCTGGTCATGGTGGAGGCCTAGCTGTTGTTTTCAGAGACCATCTTCCATGTAGCTCTACAACATCTGGTCACGTTCCTTCCTTTGAACTGCAGCTGATTAAAGTAGGGCGTAAGGACCCGTTCTACTGTGCTGCGGTTTCTCATCCACCTGGTCCAAATGGCTCTTTCCCTCAGGAGTTTAGTGACTTTCTATCCTCCACTGTGAAGCTGTCCAGACTGGTGACTGTGGGTGACTTTAACATCCACGTTGATGATCCCTCTGATCACTTTGCTATGAATTTCTCCAGCCTTATGGACTCCTTCAGCTTTACCCAGCATGTTTCTGGCCCCACACACACCAGGGGGCACACTCTGGACCTTGTTTTTACCCTGGATCTAAATGCTGACAGTGTTTGTCCTGAGGACGTTTATATTTCAGATCACCATTGCATTTTCTTTAACTTGTCAGTTTCTGCATCCCCACCATCTGCTCGCCATATGGTTGGTTCTCGTTTTCTTAATGAGAGCACAGCTAGCAATTTTTCTGCTGCTTTTGATCCACCCTGTTCTTCTGATAATGACCCAGATTACTTAACTTCTCAGTTTAACGAGCACTGCCTCTTCATTCTGGACAACATCTGTCCTGTCAGAACCAGATCAGTTCCTGCAGTGAACCCTACTCCCTGGTTTAATGATAGCCTTTGCAGCCTAAAGCGCCAGTGCAGAAAAACTGAGCACTTGTGGAAGAAAATCAATCTCCACCTGCTGCACCTTAAGGATCTTCTGACATCCTTTAACTCTGCAGTCAGAGACGTTAGGATTTCCTACTTTTCCAACCTGGTGTCCCAGAGCAAAGGGAACCCCAAGGTGCTGTTTAACACCATCAGCAGCATCGTCTCTCCTGCCACTCCTACAGCCATCATTCCACTCTGATGCAGACTGTGAGAACTTTCTGTCTTTCTTTGTGGACAAAGTCAATAAGGTTAGATCTAGCATCTCTCCTTCAGCCTTATCGCTGCCTCTCCCGACTCCAACCAGGCCAATCATCCTAGATAGCTTTGCTCCTGTTTCTTTGCCTGAGTTAACCAAACTAGTTAACTCTATGAAGACCTCTGCATGCCCCCTCGACATCTTACCCTCATCTTTGTTTAAAAGTGCTTTTCATTCCATCAGTCCCAGCGTGCTCTCTATAGTTAATGCTTCTCTGGTTTCTGGTCAGGTCCCTGCTTACTTTAAGAATGCTGTAATTCACCCGCTGCTTAAAAAACCGAGCCTTGATGCCTCTCTCCATAGCAGCTTCAGACCCATCTCTAAACTTCCGTTCCTCTCCAAGATCTTGGAAAAGGTTGTGGCTAAACAACTCACAGCTGCTCTTGTTGAACATAATATCTATGATTGCTTCCAGTCAGGTTTTCGTAGAGCTCATTCTACTGAAACAGCTCTTCTTAGGGTCTCTAATGACCTTCTGACTCACAGTGATGCAGGGGACTGTTCTGTTTTGGTCCTGCTGGACCTGACTGCAGCCTTTGACACTGTTGACCATCACCTGCTACTGGAGAGGCTGAGAGACTGGGTAGGCCTATCAGGAACTGCTCTGGAGTGGTTCTCTTATCTTTCTGAGCGCTCCTTTTCTGTGGCCGTCTCTTTAAGTTTAAGTCCTCCACCACCTCCCTTACCCATGGTGTCCAACACGCCTCCCTGCTGGGGCCTCTACTCTTCCTCCTCCATCTGCTTCCTCTTCAGCACACCCTGAGCTCCTACAAAGGAATCTCCTACCATCTTTATGCAGCCATGAGATGTCTAAGCTGTGGCTGTTACACACCTGCTCAGACTATCAAAACCTGGATGGCTGGGAACTTTCTTCAGCTGAATGAAGATAAGACTGAGATCCTCATCTGTGCCACAGACAAGCTGGTTCCCAAAGTCAGAGACTCTCTTGGTCAGCTTGCTTCTCACACCAAACCTTCCATCAGGAACCTTGGCGTGACCTCTGACCCAGCTCTCACCCTGGATTCTCATGTCAGTTCTCTTTTTCGCTCTTCCTTCTTCCATCTCAGGAACATTGCTAAGCTGAGTCCCATTCTGCCCCGTTCTGAACTTGAGACAGTTATCCACACCTTCATTTCCTCACACTTAGACCACTATAACTCTCTTTTCACGTTTCCTCTCTGAACCGTCTACAGGTGGTTCAGAATGCCTGTGCTCGGCTTCTGACCAAGTCCTCCAAACACACCCACATCACCCCGCTTCTCCTCCAGCTTCATTGGCTGACAGTCAACTTCAGGGTTCATTTCAAGATCCTGGTACTGGTCTATAGGGCCTTACATGGACAAGCACCATCTTAAATTGGTGATCTTCTTAGTCCCTACACCCCCAGCAGGTCCCTGAGGTCCAGTGATCAAAGCCTACTGGTTGTGCAGCACCAGGCTAAAGACCAAAGGTGACAGATCATTTGCTGCTGTGGCCCCCAGACTCTGGAACTCTCTCACCTGAGCCTGAGATCAGTGGACTCAGTGGTCTCCTTTAAAAAGCAGAAGACTTACTTGTTCAAGCTGGCTTTTGTATGACCTTCTTCACCACTTTCTCCTGCTCTACCCACCTATTCCACCTTCCTCAGGATCCACTGATTTCCCTCTTTCCTATTCACTCTCTCTTTCTTAACTTTTTTTAAATCACAAATGTCTATTTTTTGCTCATTTTAAATATATTTTTAACCATTTTCTATATTATTTTTTGTATTTTTACATTTTTTGTTTTTGTGAAGCGCCTCGTGATTTTTATCTTGAGAGGCGCTATAGAAATGATATTTTCTTCTTCTTCTTCGCCGCCTTGAGTCACATGACTCAACGTAATACACGTGACTGCCTCATCTAGTGGACAACTTGTCTTTGCGCATACATGTAGTTATCGTCCATTTATTGTTATCGAGGTGAAAGCCTCAATATACCATGATATTGAATTTAGGCCAAATTGCCCACCCCTAGTGCCTGTCCCGGTTTGTCACAGTCGTTGTGTCCTTGGGCAAGACACTTCAACGACTTTGCATGCTGATGTTGGTTGATGTGTATGGCAACCCCACCTCTATCAGTTAGCCCAAGGACTGCAGTGGTTTGATTGTGGCTCATGAACACCTACAGAGGAAAGTGAATGTGGATGAATGACCACTGAATTGTAAAGTGCCTTAGGGGGTACAAAGACTCTAGAAGGTGCTATAAAAATATGTACCTTCTAGCCATGGAGACTTAACTCTCCCACTTGAGGTCCACGTGGCAGGGGTGAGGTGTTGCTCACTCCTCACCACTGCCACGTAGACCTCAAGGGATAAACCATCAACCCTGCTCAATGGTCAACTTTCATGGCGGAGTCACCCATGAGGACAGTGGAAGGGTTGAACTTCCTTGGAAATTAGGAAGTATAAGAAGGAAAACACAACAAATTATTTTCTAAAAAAATCCCTAAGATCACAGTAAACTTTGTGATGTATAGATTCACTTATCTTTGTAAGCGTTCTTTGGCTTTATACTAATCAAGCTCAAAAAGCTATCATAGCAGCACAGTCCAACATTATTTTAATGTCACAACTGCTATTATTTTGTTTAAATTGGTGTTTTCAAATGTGTGTCTCATTTAGAGATAGAATGAGAAGCTTGGTCATCTGGTATGGGTTCAGAATACAACCAATGCTCCTCCACATTGAAGGGAGCAAGCTGCAGTGGCTAGGGCATCTGGTTAGGATGCCTTCTGGATGCGTCCCTGGTTCAGAAGGATTAAAAGACAAAGATTGTAATTTTGGTAAAAGTTTCTCTCTCTCTGGGCCTCAGGACCAATGACTAAAACTTCAGTTTTGTCCTGGTTGAGCTGGAAGAACCGTTTGGACCAGGTGGACGATAGGCCACAGCACAGTAAAACGGGTTCTTACACCTGACTTTAATCAGCTGCAGTTCAAAGGAAGCAAAGTGACAAGAGGTTGTAGAGCTACATGGAAGATGGTCGCTGAAAACAACAGCTGGGCCTCCACCACGACCAGAATGCCGGGGCTGGCTAAGGTAAGAATAACCACTCCGGCAGAGTTCAATCAGACCAGAATAATCAGATGTTTGCTGCCAAACTTCAGTCAGAAACAGCAAATCTAGGTCGTTTAGCAGGAAGGACTTATTGTTAACAGAGCGGGTATTTAATAGAGCCATGCTGAGTGAGGTAGAGGAATCAGAAACTACAGAATCAGCTAGAGTTAGTGGACGTAAATTAGCAGGGTTAGATCTACAGTGTTTATAAAAAACACTTATGGAGGGAACATTAGGAGAAGCCACTGAAGAATGAGGATAAACCGACCTTAAAAAACTAGGATGAAGAAACCGCGCCGCAACGCGGCCTGGTGGGAATGCGGAAGTGGCGCTCAGGTCGCCAAACAAAGGACAAGAAGCTAGAAGATCACACCGATGTTTAGTAGATAAACCACGCTTTAAGAGAAGTCTTATTCTCACCTGGATTCCTGCTCGTTTACCTATTTTCCTCCAACATTTTCCCGGGACCGGATAAACATCGTTGGAGGTGTCTTGGTAGGAATCATCTTTTGGCTCCGAGCCAGCGCGCTGCTCGGGTAAACAAACAGGGAGGTAAGTCCTCGGTGCATCTCGGGCGATCGTGAATGAATGGAAGGACAGAAGAGTCTAGCGATCATAGGAGATGGTAGCAGAGACACTACCAAAGAGGATCGCAGACAGGAGCAAGGTGGAAAAGAGGAGGTTAGTTGAGAAAAGTTTGAAAAAGTGGCCGGTGACCGCGGCTAAGCCAAGCACAGGCGCCATCTTGTTACCGACCGATTCTGACTCTCCAGGCTTCAAAGCTCCAACCTGTCCAGCCTGAAACAGGATGTACAGAATTTGTGTGTAAGGGTTCATTCCTTAGAATCCTCCTCCTTGCCAGTGCATGTTATGCCACTCACATCAGCTGATTCCATCTCAAGGCTTGACCCCAACCTGAAACCCGAGGTTGTGTTTCCCTGCTCCTGATGAACGAGTGGCCGATTCAATTGCTAGTGAGGATGTCTGGCGCCCCCAGATGACCAGTCAGCCAAGGTGGTGCTGGGTCAACTCAAGTTACAAGAGGGGGCTGGGAAACCTTATGTACCTTTGTCTCTTGAATAGGTGCTCCACTATGACGCTCTTCTGGGCGGTGGTTCAGACTTCACTCTCATCCTTTTACACATCAAACAGGTCGTGGTGCAGGTGGATGCTCTTGTGAATGAAGTTGAATGGGACAAACTACATCAGCTCCGACTAAAATATAAAGACTCTCTTTCAGTCTACTCCTTAGATTGTGGGTTGACTACGAACCATGAGGTGTGGATTCCTACACCACAACATGCACGGCCGACCTTCGTGCGTCAATACAAGATTCCCCTGGTGTCCTATGGACCTGTCCAGGAAACCAATGATAGTCTCTTGGAAAAGGGTGTCAGTGAACCCTGTAACAGCACCTACTCGGCTTTGTTGTGGCCGGTGAGCAAATCTAATGGAAAGTGGCAGCTACCCATTGACTACAAAAAACGGAACCAACCGTTGTCCATTATCCTGGTGGCTGATGGCCTGCCTGGAACAAGAACTTCCGAAGATGAGAGATGCTAAAAACTTTTTTCCCCCTTGACATTGCTTCTGGATTCTGGACAATCCCTGTCCATGCATATGACCAATAAAAACTAGACTTCACCTTTGCCAACCACCAAAACACCTTCACACGGTGTCCCTTTAGCTACTCTAGCTCACCCTCTGAGTCTTTTTGGACAAAGCCTGCCCCGGCACTCGTGAACGTGATACAATCATCTACGTTGACGATATTCTGATTCGTAAACAGACTTTGGACGACCACCTGTTCGAGCTAGGGCATGTCATGGGTCAGCTGGTGCGAAAATCTCCCTCACTAAAGGTAAGTGGTGCAGGTCTAAAGTACAGTTGGTTGGCCTCCTTGTGGGGCTACAGGGAGTAGAGCCTCAACATGGTAGAGCCCAGGGTGTCGCCACCATTAAAGATCCAACAAATGCATCTGAAATTCTGAGTTTTCTGGGTGTGCACAACTACTCCCGCCAGTTTGTAGAAAACTATGTGGAGTTTATGAGACCTCTACGTAACTGCCTTGCTGAAAAGGATGTGTCTTTTGAGAGGGCTGAGCAGCAACAGCAAGCCATGGATGACTTGAAGTGCATGTTGTGCTTGGCCCCGTGCCTGGCACTTCATGAATGTGACAAGGAATTCCACCTAGACGTTGGGTTTTCTATCCACTGTTTGAGTGCCAGTCTATACCAGAAGTATGACTGTATGGGTGTGTCATAGCCTATGCGAGTAAGATCTTGTCCGGTCCTGAGTTGAAATAATCTGCAAAAAAAAATTTGCTAGCCAATTTGCTTATCTCTTATTTTTATCATTCCTTTTTGCACCAAGACCCGCAGCTATTTCCTAATGTTGTGATTTCTCGCACATATGGCAATAAAACCCTTCTAATTCTGATACACTTTAATGTGCAAAGACGTCTGCTTTACCTTAACAGTTTTCTTCTTTGGCCCTTCATTTTCATCAGCCTCTTCATGTTCATGGGCTCCCTGGGACAGATTGGTATAGTTGGCTAACTTATTGAGAAGTGATGACACCATAGGATGGCTGTCCATCTCCTCCTGCAAAGCAAAAACATTTTAAAAGAGCAAGTCATGCAAGACCAGTCCCATTTTATTTACAATGCACTTTCCACAGGGCATAAGAGCCCACCAAAGTACAGTATAGAAAGAAAATGCAATAAAACAACAGTGAAAGGGCCTACAGAAAACAACATAAAGGGATATAAAACAGAAAACAAATTGTTCTATAGAGTAACAATAATAAACAACCAAAAACCATAGCAGAAAAACCACTCAAAGAACAGTGACTTCAAAAGTTTAAATTAGTTAAAAGCCAGATGAGTCTTAAGGCGAACTTTTAAAGTGCTCAGTGAGCAAGACTGTTTGACAGAGTTAGGACTAAATCAAGAAGGCATGATTTTAGCCCTCTTTACAAAACACACTGTGCTGGCAAATGCGTAATATTACTGCAACGGTCTTATAAATAGGGCATGCTGGCATGGCGTTGTGTAAATTATGCAGCATTCGTTCCGCCAACAACCGGGGCTTCAATCGCAAATCACGCAAGTTATGTCCAAGATGAACAGAACTCTGCAGCGCAGAGGACAGCGTTCATACCGCAATCGCCTGATCTTGGTTTTTATAATCAGGCTGCAAGCATGTTTGTTTCTGCTTTGAATTAGACATTTTTAACATTAGTTAAATGAAAATTTGCTCTTTTCTGGTGCTAGCTCCTAGCGGATCTGGAAGTCCCACAGGTTCTTGACTCACATGTCCTCTACCATCTTAGTGAGTGTGTTATGGCCACCAGCCTGGCCTCTTCACGTGAGGGAGCCAGGATCACCCAGCCCCGGTGATCAGCCAGACACCGCCCCTTCTCCTCCAGGCTGCTGAGGAGCACAGCTGAGCTGAATCCCTCAGACGACCCACACCTTGGATAAAAAGGCTGTGCCTTAAGCAGTCTGGTGGGCAGCAGTGCAGGGGTTCTGCTGTCCTCCAGGCCTCATCTTGTTTTCAACTAGGGCTGCAACAAACGATTATTTGGATAATCGATTAATCGGATGGGGTCTCGACACGATTAATCGATTAATCAGATTACATGGGGAAATTTTTAAAAACTGCTAGGGAAACGTTATTTCTCTCCTTCCTTCACTTTATTTAACACAACATTATTAGAAAACAGTTCAATAGCAGAAAAACAACATGCCATCACCTAAATTGTCTTATAAGGTGTATAGACAGAGACCCTAAGCTACATCTATCTGTGACCTAAAATGCTTGGTCCCAGTTAAACAGCTTAAGGGCAATTCTCATCTGTTTTGTTTGATCTCATCTGTTGACATTTATTTTAAATGTAATTAAACATAGGCTGTGAATTAATCAAAATTGATCACTATTTCCAAAAATGACTGAAAAAATACCAAATAAAACAAAAGTAAATGAATGCCATCCTCCTTGCGATGATGCCCTGGGCAACTGCCATAAAGTCACATCAAGAAATGCTGCTGATCATTCCAATGATCCCAAATAGACTCACATTAGGCCACATGAAAGCAACTGAACCCAAAAATATACTAACCAGTATATAACTGCACTCTCACACAACACGCCTGCAGCAACAGTTAGGACTCCTCCCTCCCTTTTAAAAGCGTTTTTGAGGACATTGTGGTTGTAAAACCACATGCTAGTAGTCTGGCCCCGGTGTGATCAACCAGTTTCTGCGGGAATGTGACGGCGGAACCAGGGCCAGATTAACACTTTGTTGCACCCTGGGCAACAATATTCAAGGGCTCCATCATCACGACCCAAGGATCACCATAATGTGGTCACATACAGAATATTTTACTGTAATATGCAGTAAATATACTCAATACTTGAATGCCTGACAACACGTAACCCGCCCAGAGTAACCTTTGACCCACCTCGTGTGGACTGACCAATAAGGAGAGAGTCTTAACATGAGGCCCTCTCTTCATTGGTCAGTCTGCATGAGACTGACTCTCAACTGACGTTCAGTCGTAGGCAGCGAAGCGTCTCTGTGCAGTGCAAAAGCCCGGGTGGACAGTTTGTTTAATGTAGGGTGATCATATTTCCATTTCCAAACAAGAGGACAGGGGATCTGTGCCTATGACGTCACACTATGGCAACGCCACACAAACCATGTTGGGACCCATTTTTTGTAAGAACTACATTAATATCAGATTCTGCCAATAAAAGGGCTCTAAAACAATTCATATGTAAATATTTTGCATATTTAATGCAAAATCTAATTTTTCTGCTTTAGTGCTGCAACAAGGTTTTATTAATAATAAATTATTATACCTTTTGTTTTACTACAGCATCGGTAAGCTTCCTGTGCACAGATTATTAAGGATGCTTGTTTCAGCTGTGAGATTAGACAATAGGATCAATGAAAAAATAAGTTGTCACACACTCCATGGAAACTTTCAGAGAATCCACAAATAGTGGCTTTCAGGTGGTTTTGTTACTTTTTGCAAGTTTATAAAAGAAGCAGATGAGACAGCATGTCTGATAATTTAGTTTTTCATCTGATAATATTAGAACATGTCAGTAACGTCTGAGGGGCTTTTATAAACACCATATAACTAACACTACTGGAGAGGGCATGAATTACACAGAGGCTTCTGGGGAGCCCAGTTATTGGGGGGGGGGGGGGGGGGGGGGCATTTTGCCTTGGCCCCCAAAATGTCTTGAAACGGCCCTGGGTGTGTGACTGAGTTTTGAAGGTGATCTGAATTGTATCAGATGTATAAATATGACATGTGTATAACTTATTGTTTTATACAGGTAAAAACGTGTAGTGGAGATAAATCTACCTACATTTTACTTTTCAAGACTTTGTTTTGTTTTCTTGTTTTTATTTAACTATTTTCCTGTCCTGTCTGTCTCTCATCTTCCTGCATCTCCTCTTAATTCTCCAGAAAATCTGTTGCCTGGATTCTTACCTTTTCACCTCATCAGTTACTTTTGAGCAGATCAAAGGGATCTCCTGACCGAAAAGCGCAGAGCGCGTTTTCGATGCTGCGTGAGGTGACATCACCACAGCACAGGTGATGAGCTCCGCAGTAGCGCACTTCAGGCACAAATAAGACAGAAAATAGAGAACATGTGTGGACATGAACGATCGTGTGCTAATTATAGTTTTTTGGTTGCGCCACTTTGAGAATGGACCGTGCGCTGGAAGCAGCTGCCTGGATCGCTGCGCAACAATGCGGAACCGGTTCGCAGCAGCGCAAGTCTGCCGGCTCTCCCTCGCGCTGATCTGCCGGTACCGGCTCTCCCTCACGCTGATCTGCGGCTCTCCCTCGCGCTGATCTGCCGGCTCTTCCTTGCGCTGATCTGCCGGTACCGGCTCTCCCTCACGCTGATCTGCGGCTCTCCCTTGCACTGATCTGCGGCTCTCCCTCGCGCTGATCTGCGGCTCTCCCTCGCGCTGATCTGCGGCTCTCCCTCGCGCTGATCTGCGGCTCTCCCTCGCGCTGATCTGACTTGCTCTGGTCTGTGCGCAAGGCGGGCGGGAAGAGGGGGCGCTTTTGGAAGAGTTGTGCGACACAACGAATCGATGACGCAATTCGTTGCCAACGCTTTTAGTAATCGATTTTCATCGAATTTATCGATTCGTTGTTGCAGCCCTATTTTCAACCCCTTCGTTTTTATGAGTTTTAACTTCTAAAGTCTTAACTCTGATTGATTCAAAGGGATATTTGTTTGACGTCAACTTGGTTGACTCTGTTTTAAGGTTAACGTCGTAGTTTACCGACTTTGGGATTTTAAAACACTCAGTGTTTTCACAGTGAATCGGTTTTTATTATCAACTTGTGTTTTTTCAAACACCTTCTGTTTCGGTGAAACTTAACAAAGTTTTAACCAGGCATTTTAATGTTGATAAGTTGTCCTTTAAATGTTTACTTTTTAGTCTTGGTTTTTTATTTGGCATTATTTTAATAATACTTTCCATCTGTTTACACTTGTCTTTAGAACCTTTTATAACAATGAAACCCATTTTAAACCCACTATCTTGTTTCTCTTATGTTACCCCCCTTCACATTTTATGTCGGGGACGTAACATAAATGAAGGTTCCACTGAGACAAGGTCAGAGTGTTTCCCACTTTGACCTTGGAGCTTCCAGTCCATACTCCGCTCAGATGTTCCTGTATACTATGCCAGCCACTTGGTTATGGCGTTTTATGAATGCTTTCCCTGCCAGCATCTTGCACCCTGCAGTTATGTGGTGGATTGTCACGGGGGCCTTTTTGCAGAGCCTTCACCTTGGGCCTTGTCTGGTGTGGTAGCTATTGGGCTCTGTTGCTCAGGGCCTGTTCCTGTGCAGCCATGAGTGCCTCTGTGTTGTTCTGTTGAATAGATCGTTCTAACCACTGGTAGGATTTCTTGAAATCAACCACCTCAGTTATCTGTCAGTGGTACATGCCATAAAGGGGTCTGTCCTCCCATGATGGTATTTTCGGCACCTCCTGAGATACAGTGGTGTGAAAAACTATTTGCCCCCTTCCTGATTTCTTATTCTTTTGCATGTTTGTCACACAAAATGTTTCTGATCATCTAACACATTTAACCATTAGTCAAACACAAGTAAACACAAAATGCAGTTTTGAAATGATGGTTTTTATTATTTAGGGAGAGAACAAAATCCAAACCTACATTGTCCTGTGTGAAAAAGTAATTGTCCCCCTTGTTAAAAAATAACCCAACTGTGGTGTTTCACACCTGAGTTCCATTTCTGTAGCCACCCCCAAGCCTGATTACTGCCACACCTGTTTCAATCAAGAAATCACTTAAATATGAGCTGCCTGACACAGAAAAGTAGACCAAAAGCACCTCAAAAGCTAGACATCATGCCAAAAACCAAAGAAATTCAAGAACAAATGAGAACAAAAGTAATTGAGATCTACCAGTCTGGTAAAGGTTATAAAGCCATTTCTAAAGCTTTGGGACTCCAGTGAACCACAGTGACAGCCATTATCCACAAATGGCAACAACATGGAACAGTGGTGAACCTTCTATAAACTAAAACTATATT